CAAACAAAACTCAATAAACATTATGTGGCCAGCTGATCCCAAAATTAAAAAGTCCTACTGGTGCACTAGGCTTAAAATCCTCATATAAAACCCTGCAACACCCTTAAGCCGTGATCTTCCACAAAACAGTAAAAAAAAATATGTGTGATGTATATGTATTGATTTATTTCTGTGTTGTTGAAATGTAAATACTGGACAACAGGAACAGTAAGACATTCACAAATATTTAGGTCCGCTTCATGATTTCAGTTGCTTCCAGAAAACAATGTCACATATTACTGACACCTTTATACGTTTATACATAGTACCTTTGTAAAGTGCAGCATTCTTCCTTTGGAGCTTCTAGTGCCCTTTTAAGTTTTGTTGGAGGAGCAGTTTAGAAGATCATTTTTGCAAGTTCAAACAAAACCTAGATGGAAAACAAAACAACAGATGTATATAGTATTTAATTTAAAAAAGGCTGTATACATTAGTAACTTGAAAGAGGCAATGCAAAATACATTTAGCAGAGAATATTAATGAATTATACTGTATTATGATTAATTAAATAACTCAAGTAGACTAGCTAATGTCCAACAGTGGTTTACAAGATGTATATCTTATATACATATATATAAACATCATATACTTATACATCAGGCACAAAGATCTGTTTTATATGCTTACCTCAATAGTAATGAGGATGACTATCATCCACTCCAACCTTAAGCTGTGCTTCTCACTCAGGTGGCTTCTCATCAGATCTGTTAACTGAGAACAGTGTTCCAGCTTCTCGTTCACAACCTAAAAACACAGACAATGCTGAAGTTTAGATCAAAAACAAAGTATTGGCTTCTTACCACAAAGTATCAGAGTCCAACGATGGTGCCACATCCTTTTTTTGGATGAACTTTATTTACATTGACTCTGCGGTTGATGCTGAGGAACTGGCAGGTCTTATCATAGAGTTTTTCCAGGTTTTCTCTGTCCCAGTAGAAATCAGGTGTGATGAGCAGGTCAGACCTCAGGTTTATACAGTGTCTGTCAGAGTTAGGGGTAAATACAAAGGTTTTAAACAGAGTCAGTCAGCCCAGAGTTAAAAATATCAACTCAACTCAAAATACTTGCATGTCAACAAATTACAAACTATTGATAACCTGGAAGACACAACTAACTAAACTAACAAACTAACTTCCCAAAAAACAAAATTACAAATCTGAGCTGGTTGTCAGAAACAACAGGTTTTGGGTTGCTGTAAAACCTTGAAAACAAACCTAGAAAGGTTGGCGTTCCCTCTAAATAAACCACTATTTAGAGAAAAGTGAATTTACCTTAACGAGAAAAGCTCGCCTATCTTCTTCATAACCTCTGCAGAGGACAACTTAACTCTTTTGCCAGACTTCAGCGTCTTGAGGAAAAAAATAGATCAGGACATTAGCATTAAGAGGAGCACTGATGCATGATCTGCCTTAGAGACAAACAACCATTACAGATAATCAATTACTCATAATTTCTTCCTGCCTGCTGTTAAGTGTCTACTGTACCTCTGGAATTGATTGAATTGACTCCACAAAGTTGTCTAGTGACACCTCCCATATTGCCAGCTTCACTGAAAAAGAAAACAAGAGATACACTCAGAGGAGAGGCTGAGTACAGTGCTGCCACAAAACATTACAAACAGACCTCACCTGACAAACACAGAGCATTTGAAAATGCAAATTTCTCCAGAACAGCTCCATGCTGATCCATCTCGTCACTCAGAATAAAGTTTCCGCGCTCAAGCTTTGTATTCCCCCTGAAGAAAAAAAAGATTTAAATTCACAAAAAGCTACAGAAAGTATGGAAGTGCAAATAAACAAAAACAACACACGAGTGAAGATCAACATACTGTCCAACAGTGTAGTTAATCTCCTCATTTTCCCAGTGGACTAATGCTACTTCATAGGGCTGGATCTCATGATGTTCCAATATTCTCAAAACCTTTTTCATCTGTAAAGACAGTGAAAAAAATTACATTTTCAAAGAAATATGCTACAGCAGAGAAGTAAAAACAAAAGTACAATCAATTAAATATGATAAATGATATAATATATAGTTTTGTTTACCGTTTTCTCCTCAACATTCCAGAAAACTACTGAGCCTTCCCTGAAATTTCAAGTTGGGAAAGTCAGTGTGCGATATAAAGATATAAAGTTATCAAACACTAAGACTAGGACTGGGTATCTTTTCTAATAGCAATGCCACACTTAAGATTTAGTACCAAATCCAAAATGATATCTTGAAATATAAACATTTTTAACAGCTTCGTCTAACAAAACATGTCAAACTATCAGTGCACGATTCAGAAAATGTGAGCCACATTTAGATTTTTAGTTTTTGATGCCGGAATCTATAGACACACTTCTGTCAGGACACAAAAAAACTACTGAAGATCAATACCCAGGCCAATTAATAACCTAAAATGTGCGAGTAATTTTTTAAAATAACTTAGCATCGGACAATTCTTAATCAAGACAAAGCCTAAACAAAGCACTTTGAGAACAAACTACTTTACTGATACCTGAAGAAGAACATTACAGCATCGTCCTCTGGTTTGGCAGCCATGTCTGTGCTTATCACCAGCACATTTGAGGCATCTGAAATTACAACATGATTGTCATAAAATGTGTTAGTTGTTCCAAACATTTAACTCCCTGGAAAGGTGTAATACATGAATAGTGTTGAGTCGTACCTCTTGGTAAATCTATCTCTTGGAAGCCCTGGTTGATCAAGTCGTGGCAAAGTGTTGGCAAATGATACTGATCTGCTGTTGCAAAGGCAATACATTGCATCATATCCTACAGAGAGACACGGGGGGGTTGAATTAATCTCTTAAACATGACATGTATCAACAGATCAGTCACTGATCAGACGACTGGCTGAATCACCTTGTCCTCCTTTTTCAGGGAAGGCTGATTGGCTCTAGAAGGTTGTTTGGTTCTCGGTCCTTTGGGAACCTTTTTTCCAGGCACCGCTGCCGGTTTTAAAGTTGGTTTTAATATTGACTTCACAAGGTCAGGTGAATAAAGGCGCTTCTGTCCACTTCTACATATATCCAGTATCGCGGGGTGAGTAAACAGAGTGCTGCTGAGATGTTTAAATCCACCTGAAGCAGGCAGAACATGTCTCACATGTGTCTGCTGCTGGTGAAGAGTGTTTGAATAACAGGTCCTCGGGCCAGAGCAGTCTGAGGGGGTCCTGGGTTTGGATTCATACCTGCGTGGTTGGACAGACTGGGACAGACTGGCAGAGGCACAGATGAAGACTGGTTTCCTCTCTACAGGATGCTGAGCTCCCAGTCTGGACCACAACGTCCGGAGAAGCATCTTACCTTACCTACAGCTGTACAGGTGAGCTGCAACACAAGAAACAGTTGTTAGTGCAACTGCGTGATATGTTAGGCTTTAATTTAACACTGCAAAGCATTACAGGACTCTGCAAACCAACCTGGGCCTATTAGCACATGAATACCACCTTAAATCCAGCCAAAACAAGTAAGACTGACCTTGACTACATTAGCTTACCCTATCCTCACCGGTAGTCTCTTCACGATTTGACCATATTAAATGAACGTATATACAAGATAAACTTCTGTGCTAACTTTAAGGCAACAGAAGTTAATAAAGTGCTGCTGTAAATCAGTCTGTAATGTTAGCTCATGTGTGGCCGTCAGTTAACTTACCGGTAACAACGCGATTCAAATAGAGTTGACTTAAAATATAACGTTGTATATATGTGTAACACTCCAGAAAGTGTTAAGTGATAGGTTAAAGTAGAATTATGACATATTAGTCAACTTAGCTCCACGGCACCTTGCGTGACAGACCTGGGAGGCGTGTTTGTTGTTTGCTCATCCTGTTTCCTGTTTGAGGTGACGTAATGACGTGGTGCACGTCAGCCCTGCGCTCTGACTGGCAGGCTGCGATGTAAGTTGTGTTAGGATGATGATAGATAGTAGCCAGATAGATTAGAAGATAGATAGATGAGTAGATGATAGATAGATAGATGATAGATAGATAGATGATAGATAGGGATGCATAGATAGTAGATGATAGATAGATAGATCAGATATTCCTTTATTGGTCCCGACGATTGGGATTCATGTGCGCGCAACGATAGAGGAAAAACAGTATAAAAACAGTAAGACTAGGGAATAATAAACACATATGCTACAGGAGAAAAAACAGTAAGAATCCATAACAACAGATAGCACAAATAGTAGCAGCAGACATGAGACATGAGATGCAACCTGTTTACCCCCACTCCATATTTAACAGCTATGAATTCTGGGTCCAGGGCCAGAATATTGCTCTTTTTTTTCCAAAAATAAAACTCATTTTAATTTTAATCATATTTAGATTTAGGTTAGGTCTACATGAGCTGTGTCAAATTCATTTACTAGGGGGCTTTAACCTGAAGAGGTGAATAATAACCTGTGTGAAGGAGGCACAAGTACATATTACCCAATTTAAAGGGCATAAAACCAAAAAAAGGGGACTCACTACAGTTACACTATTTAGTTTTTTAAGTGTTTCCTCAGCTCTCGAGTGAGATTGAGGTTTAGTTACATCATTCTGCAACACAATGCAATAAGTAATCAACTGACCAAATGGCAACTACCATAATATGAATCCCTTTATTGGTAATAGGAAGTAGTGAAGGTGTAAATCATTTCAAGTTACTGCCTTAGGAAGGGCTACCTGGAAGTCTTAAATTAGGGCATAGGGCAAACAAAAACCCACTTTGATGAGGTTGACCTTCAGATGCATCTTCATCAGCTTCTTGCTTTTTGACCTTTTATGTTATTTCATGCATTTTCTTGACCTGTTTAATATCATATAATAATATAAATTATATTTGATTTTCATCTAAAGATCTATTTTGTGTAACTGATAAAGTCTCTAGATTTCAGATGTTCCCACCTACAGTGCACCCTCTGGTGGAGCCTGGTATAGCCTTGTGTTTGGTGTTGCCAGGAGACTTCTTAAAACAGAAACAAGTCTCTACTGTATATTCACCTCCCCTGCAACACTTCTAATTATAGAAGTTATGGAAAACTCTGATGAGGTATGTTAATAGAACACAAATTGATTTAAACTCTCTGTATGATATATACACATTTGTTATTATACAAGAACTAAATTACATCTAATGGCAATTTAAAATAGACATAAAAATGTCCTAGTATATAATTTATAATAACTCTTTTTTGAATCACTAGGTGGACCAGTCTCATGAGAGGGAGAGGCTGAAGATGAGAATTGGTGTTCTGGAGGAGAGTGTGAAGTCCTGTGAGGTGGAGTGTAAAGCCAGCAGGGAGACGGTGCTCAGGCTGGTGGCAGAGCTGGACAGAGAGAGGAGGAAGGCTGCCAACAGTGCAGCAGCTCTCGATTCACTCAAAGTGGTACTTACACAACTTTAAGTTTATATATTGTACAATTAGTTGGCAGTACGCCCAACAGAAAATTCTGTCCAGACAACAGTCTTCAAAATGTTTTCTTTAATTTATTAAAATGTTCCAGTGAAAGTTTTATTACCTAACAAGACACACATGCACAAATAGCCTCCTCACCACAAGGGTTACAACTGTGGTAGGTAAACAGTGATTATTTTATTAGTTGATTTGTTGTGTTAATTTAATAGTAGTCAAATTTAATTATATTGAGTAAATAAATAATACAATCAGCCTATAAAATACCCACGTGTATGTCTTTAACTGTGGAATGTATACTCGCCGCAGGGTTAATAAAAGTCCCAGAAAAACTATTAAACTATACAAGCCCTCAGTGTCTTTAATAGTCCTGTGGCCAGACAGTATAAACAATGTATGCACACATATCTATCTTATCTGAGCCATTGAGTGTTAATAATCTTTTAATTTCATGCTGAATTGTGGAGGAGTTTGTAAAGCCTGTTTCAATATGAGCTCTATTAAATATTTGATAAAACTGTGTGGTGTGACTCTTTCAGGAGTTAGACGGTCTGCTGGTGGGGAGGAGGAGTGTTGAGATGGAGAAGGAGACCCTAATGGAGAGGCTTGAGGCCAGCAAGAGAGTCATAGAGGCTGCTCGGCGAGAGTCAAATTGTTTGGAGAAACAGGTGGAGGAGCTTGAAAGAAAGCTACAGTCAAGCCAAGGAGAGACCCAGGCAGCTGAGGAGAAACTACAGGTGTTCCTGAAAAAGATGGCAGGGCTGCTGCAGGGGAAGTCTGAGAATGTCCTCCTGCCCACAGAGAGAGATATTTTACACAAAGTGGATGACCTCTGCAATAAGGTGAGGTGGAGAAAGCATTAAATATTGATCTGCAAATGAACTGCAAAAGCAAAATAAATGCAGAATAGTAAAAAGTATAAGAAAGTAGCATGACATTAAAATACTAGAAAAAAGTATCTAAACATTTTATTTCAGTACAATAAAGTAAATGTATTTAGTTTCCAACACTGGTCTCCACATTTACTTTTTATATTAAATCTTGGGCGTCCATGTGTCAAAGAGGCACACAATAATATCCTTACTACATTTTTTGGAGGCAGTCTTTATCAGAGATGGAGGTCAGGCTGTCTCATGTCTCTGAGGAACTGAGCGAGCAGACGGAGCTCCAGCACAGCGCGCTACAGAGGGCTCAGCTTGCAGAGCAGCAAGTCCAGGACCTGAGGGAGAGACTGCAGGGTCTTGAGACTGAGCTGTTAACAGCAGACATGCATCGTGACAGTCTAAGACACAACAAACAGCATGTGAGTGAAGTCATATATAGTAGCATGGGGGAAAGGAGTGACAGTTACACGTAAATACATAAGAAATGTTTAAAAAAGAGAAGAAATGCTCTGCGTTTTTTAACAGTATGAAGAGTTCCTGGAACAGCTGTCAGAGACGATGAAGGTTGGGAGCATTGCTGTGGATCTTGGCTTCGACATGAGGCTAAAACTCATCCTGTCACGCGTAGAGCAGCTTGTTAAACAAGAGGGAACTGCTTTGGTGGAAAGCAAAAGTCTGACCTACAGTCTACAGCGAAAGGTAGGCCATACTTACTGGTATTTAAAGCAATTTAACTTTAAGTTTTAGTATCCTTGAATATTACAAAGGGAAGAATCACAACTTTCTAAAAGTGTGCAGAGTGGTATTTGATTATTTTATTTTAGTAGTAATGAAAACCTCTAAGTGCAAAACAGTTGCTGTTTTGGCATGACCAGCGATACACCTGTAATCTAAATATTCCTGTTCCCAACAGTTTAAGTCCCAGAAAGACCAGCTGGAGAGCAAAGGACTCCACATCCAGCTCCTGAGGAAGAAGGTGTCAGAGCTGGAGGAGGAGAAGAGGAGCCGATCAGCGCTGGCTGTGGAACGAGACGATGCTCACCTGGAGGTCAGGAGGCTGCAGAAAAAACTTGAGCGTCTCCAAGGCGAACTGAAGGCTACCAAGCTGTCCAACACTGAGCTCAAGGCCCAGCTGTCCCATACCAACGAGCTCAAGGTAGAGGGGAGAGGGCTTCACGCCAAAATTCAGTCCAGAGGCATTTTCACCTCATAATTTATCTGTATTTGTGTTAACGTCTGTGTATGTGTGAATGAAAGTATATAAAATTCTTTGTAATTGTGCCCCAATTATGTAAAGCAGGTTTGTTCTGAAAACCACTGTATATATTCTTAAGTGTCAGAGTATTTGAGAGCAGTAAGCCAACTTGATAAAGCCACCGAATAACAGTTGCTTCACTAAACACTTGTGTCTGACGTGCCAAGTTGAAAGTCATGGAACAGAGTCAGACCATGCAGGAGCAGAAAAAGAGGCTGGATCAGCTGGTGGAGGGGAAGGCCAAGGTGGAGAAGAAGCTGAACACAGTGAGCTCAGACCTACAGAGCCGAGAGAAGAAGACGAGAGACGACCAGGACCAACTCAACACCCTCAGACAGAGCCTGGCTCAGCTGTCTGACAGGGAGAGAGAGGTGAGGGAATGGTCAACAACATCTGGACATAGAAAGTTATGTAGAAAGTAAAATTTTCTCAACTCAACTCAAGGTCAAAATTGCTTGTTGTTTCCAAAGCTTTTAACCACACCACATGACCTTCCACAGCAGATGTTAACGAACCTGTGTGAATGAACCTTCTTATTTAAAGAAAGTCCTCTACGTCCTCTCTATATTGCTATTTTATATGGTCTCAAGACAGGTGGTAGCATAAAATATCAAATACAAACTACCTACTAATATCTACTTATTTTCAAGCAAACAAAATTGAAAGACAAGATCTTTTGTAATTTCTTTTTTAAAAATACAGCAGACTTATAAGTTAATTCAAATAATCAAAAATGATCAAAGCCAACTCAAAAATGACTTGGCTGTGGTTATGGGCAGTGAAATAAATTGATTTTCAGCGTGGTGTTAACATTTAGGAGGATCTATTGGCAGAAATGGGATATAACATTAATATTGGACTTACATTGGCCAGACACATAATTTCAAATGAATAATAATGCTGTATCTGCTGCTGGAGGTGTAAATATGCAAGTGTTTGCTAATACCACACCAACTTAAAAGGCGATCATATGACAATGTTGTGTTTATAGTTTGTTTTTGCTGCCCCCAAGTGGTTTAAAGTCAATTACAGCTTTAAAGGGCACCAGAGAACCCTCAAACCTGTCATTTAGCTATTAGTGCTATAAGTGTTAGTCTGTGTATTAAAAAGGCGGTCCGTCAGTTCAGGAGTGGTAGGAGGTTCAAATGATGTGGTGACTCGTATTTACAGTTGTATAACAGATTATACTTTTAAAATCAAACTTAGATGTGTTATTTTTTTCTCCCTTGTTCAGTTGGTGGATTTCCGGATGGTTGTTTCCCAGATGTTGGGTCTGGATGCCACAGCCCTGGCTCTTCCAAATAATGAAATCATTAAATTACTGGACACCCATCTTCACAGTCATCATCACCATCACCACCTCCACCATGTTAACATGCCCTGGCACTGTCCTGCCCACCAGAGGCCTCATCTCCACCAAATCCACGACCTACTTGACAGCTCCTCCCAGGATCTTTCTACCTCCAGGTCTCCTTATCCAGGAGACGCAGTTCCTATTCATGAAGCCTAGATTTATACATTATACTTATGCCAAACTGCACTTAAAATGTAAATCTGTGATCTAAAAAACAGACCTTATACAGTATGAACTTATCTATCAAGCATCATATTTGTCACATAAAAATATATATAAGTCACATTACAAAAAATCGAATAAAAAGACAAATATCAAAATGAGGATTTGGCATTCATTGTTTTTGATGGTCGCATATACATACATTTTCATATTGATTTTTTTTACCATTATGTACACATTTTACATAATCTTAGACTATTACATACATTTGATACTGAATTGACAGTCATACAAAATATACAATAGTTCTATATGTCATAATTCTCAATCATAAAGTTGTATTTAAGATTTTGTTTAAAAAATAAAACAGCAAAATGTATAAAGACCATGGATGACTGATGTTAAAGGTTAAACTCTTGAATTGTGTCTGGCTTTGATATTAAAACACGCAACTTGGCTTAAATTAATCTTACTTGAATCCATGTAATTCAGGTTAAAAATGGACACAGACACAATGAAGGATGTAAGTAAATAAAAGCAAACTGCATGCCAAAATACAGGTAAAAAAATAATTGCAATGTCAGACATATTAAATGTTAATTTTTGTTTGTTTCTTTTACAAATTTTTGAGTTACAAGCAAATTCACAGGCTAAATTTCAGCATTTAACTTTGGTGCTATCCACTGACAGATCTCTTCATAGAAATACAACATGTATATGCCACTGAGGTGATCTTCAGTTCATTCATCCAGCATGTCCACTGTGGGCAAAAACAGTTTCTTCAGTTTGGTTACACCAAAGATGCTCCTTAATCGACACGGCATTACACAGAGTTACATACTGAGATGCTTGATCCTATGTGCTACACAGAAAGATATTAACGGTAGATGGCAGCTGTTTTTCTGCAGTACAGATGGATGACAAAGATCAGTTTTTGTCAGGAAGAATCGAATTGAAGTCATACTGATGTAGGAATACTGAAATGACTGGCTCTTACAGCCAGCCTACACTGGAGGTGGCCCGTTAGTGTAGCTAAGCATCGGGTAGAAGGAATGAGCGAAGTTGTTGGACTGCGAACAGTAGTCCTCCTCAGACATTGGCAGCAGGAAGGCAAAGACCACTAACAGGAGCAGAAGGAACTGAAGAGGCAGTGCGACCCAGAGGACGCGGCACAGGAACGACGACCTACGACCCGCCGATGTCTCCGAATCAGAAGGGAAGGAAACGGATCCAGCGTCGCTGCGAGACCTGCTCACACACATGCATTCATGACACAGCACATACTGATGTTTAGTCACTCACATCGATCGATAAGAACATACAAAATCCTGATATCTGTTTTTGTCATCTGAATCCCTAATTTCAGACCAGTGTAATCACATTGTAAAGGCAACCTTAAATGTGCCAATTGTTTTTCTTAGCTGTTCACAAAAATAAACTCAGCAAAAATAACCGACAAATTCAATTATTCTAACTCAATAAACTTCACTTCAGCTGCTCTGTAATTTAATATCCTTATCTCCATATGCTTCAGTGTTTAGGTGATGTCTACTAATTTTCAATCCAAATAAGATCTCAGTTCAGCGACGGAGGAATTGCATGACCGTGCTTTACTTAAGGACTGTGCTGTGTTTAAAAGACATTGCCAACACGGTTCAAAGCGATGTTGGGACAATGTTTCACATTGTGATCATGCTGACTGAGACACAGTAACAAAGACGGTCACAAAACAGTTTTCCAGGCATACATACTGTACAGTCCTGCACCAAACAAATACATTTAATATATAAGCTTGCATTCCTTTGCAAAGGATGTTAGGATAAAAGACAAAAGGCATGCTGCAAGTATCAGCTGAATAATGACATGTTGTTTTTTAATAGGACTCTTTGAAAGTTTGTGTCCTGTTGAAAAATGCAAAGCATGCCGAGGCAAGAAGAGCATAGCAATTAGAAACAGCTTCTTTGACTTTAGCTAAGCTTTTTTTCAAAGGAATAGTTTGGGAAATGCGTTAATTTTCTTTCTTGCTGAAAGTTAGATGAGAAGATTGATACCACTCTCAAATCTGTGTGTTAAATATGCTAGAGCCGGGTTAGCCTAGCTTAGCATAAGGGCTCTAAAAGAGGAAGCTCTCAGCAAGGAAACAAATAAGCGTGTTTCCCAAAATGTCAGACTGTTAATTTAATTTTATCATTATAGTCACCATCACCCTCAGTAAAAACTGTCTTCTTTTGGCCTCGATGGTTAGAAACCACGGTAAGTTGAAGGGAATTATTGTAAAGAAGCTTACATACACCTACCCACTGTGGAGAAACAATTGACTTATTTCTTTAAATCAGGAGAAAACAGGCCTGCAGTACTCTCAAGATGTATTTCATTAAAGAGATTTCTGACTCCAGGAATGCATGGATGTTAGTGATGTATGATTTTACACTCAGGTAATCCTATGTTGTTACCAAATGTGCCCCTTACCACTTAATAAATGGAGACCTGAGAGGCAAGACTGACAGATGACAGACTGAGGGGGGGAAGATGGTGGATAGTCGGTGAGATAGCAGCAGCAGCAGAAGAAGAAGAAATGTCACACACGAGAGAGCGAGAGAGACAGAGAAACTGCAGCCTTTGCATTGTTCATTGCAGACATTTACTGGCTCGGCAATTTGAGAAAAGAAGTGTGTGTGCTCAGTAACAGCGACGGAGTGTTAGATATAGAGAAATATTTGTGTTATACGTAAGAAATGCCCTCTGGTTAGCGATATTAAGCAGCCGAGGACATTGGCGGAGAAGAGGCCTTGCACCATTCCTTGTGAAACTCTTTTATCAAGGATCTGCATTTCACCTCGTCACCTAGCCTACACAGAGCGTCTAGACTTACAGAAGATGATGGAATTCACTATCATGAGCTGCTAATCTGGTACTATTATTAAAAAGTGAAATTGGGGTTTATTTATTTTTTCATTTTTTAAAACACAGCTGTTGTTTAAGAGTTGGGGTGGAAGTGAAAGCATGAATCGGCCTCCAAGTGCATCATGGGCTGATGAGTTCCATTATCTTCTGGGTGTGCTAGAAACCAACAGAAAGGTACCTGTGGTGTGGACTGCTCACAGAGGGTCCAGGCTGTGACAGACTACATTTGCCCCGTTGCTGTTTGCAATGAACAGGGGGGGGAAGTGGGGTAAAAGAAAGAAAGTATGTTTCAGTCCAGGCAAATCAAGACAAAGCTACCGATGAGAAGAAATCCCCAAATGAAAGAAGAGCAGCGACAAAATCATATGTGAAGGTGATAGATTTTGTAACCCGTGATAACAAGGATTCTGGCTTTTCAAAGTGCATGACTACTTTGAAGTGCTTCGGCTTGTGAGGGCAACAATAGGAAGCTACAAATTATGCCATGTAATGCATGAATTTCACATATAGTAACATACACATAATATAAGCAGTGACATGCTTATTTGGACTGATATTTAGATAAATAATACAGATGCAAAAAATAAGGCTTTCTCATTCTTACAGCCTACAATATAAAACAAATATCATGCTTTTGTCATGATAAAACCACAATTTCTATGCTTCTTTTGCAAATTTAGCAGTTTCATGATCGCCAGTATTCCTGAGAATAACACTACAGGGATCAAACCAAAACTAGAGTGAGAGAAATTAGAGGAAAGTCTAGTGGGGAAAAAGATTTGTAGGACAGAAGTTCTTTTTTTTAATGTGGAAAAACTGGAAGAGAGAAAAAGTGACAACTAAGGCAGGACTGAAAAAAATCATCCAAGAAAAACAAAGAGGAAATCAAAAGTTAAAAAAGAAAGGTTTCTGCAGGTCTCTGGCAGGGTGTTGCTCTGGTAATAGACATCATGCAAGAAGACTAAAAAGACTGGGAAAAAGTTCAGAATTCAGAGGGAGGGAGTGTAAAGCAGGTTGTGGAGGTGTAGAAAGGTGTGAGGAGAGATCTTGGGATGACAAGGGTGAATATGGCCTTCAATGGGGCATTTGGGGCACAGGTTATTGTAATCGTGTCTCGGAAGGTTAATCGAACACCTGGCTTCCATAGAGCGGCGTGTACAGGTAGGTGTATACGTTACCGATCGTCGCCGACTTGGTGTACTCCTTCCTGATACAGGACTGAGGGAACCCGACGTGTCCAGCTCATCAGCAGATGACCAAGATGACAGATCCTGACAAAGGAAACATTTACACAAAGAGAGAAAGATAGTGAGAGATGCATTAAATATCAGACAGCGGTAGGCAAATAGTGGCCAGTGGGCAACATCTGGCCCTTCAACAAACATATAGGGAGCTGAACCTTTCATAAATCTACTTTTGAAAACAAAGTAAATACATAATTCAAATGACTTTGTAGCCTCTTATATTGCTCCCAAGTGAACACAAAGCTGAGACTACTGTGCTGCAGTGTTAGCAGATAAATAATATGATTTACTTAATTTAAATGAAACAAGTATCCCTTAAAATAGGGCAGTATTTGGTTCCACAGCTTTAGCATTTTTGACCAGAACAGATTTGTGTCAACAGTACTTTCATTCAGCCATTAGAGAAGACGCCACTGTTTACTGTGTGTGGATCAATTACATCTCTGGTCTCGTAGTGCAACACGCTATTCATTTTGCAAAATTAATAGTAGAAATAATTAGCTGTATCTCTGTTAGCCCTTATTTACTAATGACCATCAGTTTCACATAATACTGATCCCTGATATAAGGGAACCATATATTGTATTTATTAAAAAAGCTAACGCTAAAGCTAAATACTGCCTCCACAAGGTTACAAGTATGAGATGCATACAGGTAACACTGCACAGGTATATGGTAAGTGAAGATCTACCTGTTGACTGCTTGTGATGTCCAGAATCTTGGCCAGCTCTCTGAGGTCTCGGGTTACTTCCTTTAGCAGCAGTTTGAGGCGGTTCCCAATAACATGAACCTTCTCTTTGGCCTCCAGGCAGTCGCTGCCCTGAGAGTTGACCAGCAACTGCAGGGACATGTCTTGAAGCGAGGCAACTTTGAGCTGGGAGTCCAGCAGCTCCTGGCGGATTTGCTGAGGGGATTGTAAACATGAGACATGAATTCTAAAACAGTAAGGGAATTAGGATTATTCATACAGTCCTCTTGTATTTGAAACATCTGGTACAGTACTTTGATCCATTGTGGTAATCAGGATGTAAAAGTGGGCTTACTGTAAGTGCCCAAAACTATGACCCTGGGCCCATTCAACTTTAAATATCCACTCTTAAATTAAGAGTTTGGTCAAAATATACTGTTTTTACATTTAACAGACACAAAATGTATGGATATAACTTATATTTAAAGATTCTTTAAATGTAATTATCAATTACTGTTCAATAGAGAATCACAGGTGACATGAAAGACAAGATACTGTAGGTGTTGGATGAGGAAGCAAGGTTTTTATGTGGGAGTTAAAATATGACCCAAAATCTCAGTATAGTCCTTCACTGTTACTACTCAGCAAACCCCCTGCTGCAATGGACAGCTGCCTGGTTAAAACAATTGAAATATTGTAGTGTTTACCTTAAGTTAAATGTTGTTCCACTATTTTTCTATTTATGCTTCTTGATCTGCAGTACTTCCATTTTTCATATTATGTTATGCACATATACGTAGAAATTTCTTGTATGTGAAAAGCTACTTGGCAATAAACCTGATTCTGATATATATGTATGTACTGTATAGAGTATAGTTCTGTACCGTAAGTGTTTTATGATGCTCATGGAGAGTGTCACTGTCCTGAATGGGGTCAATGGGAACAACCTCATTCCTCCTACGGTCGATGTTTTCCAACCAGAGCAGCAGACCATGGCTCATCTCATGGAAGTCCTGTTAATCAGAAGTGGATCAACTATAGAACAGAACAACTGAACTTTTCTATTAAGGCCCCTGTTTTAACAGTGAGGGTCTGAATATGATGACTGGCACCTACCTGACATTGCATGAGAGCTTCCTGTAATGAGGACCTCCATTCCTCCAGTGAGCTGCCCAGTTTGTCCCAGTGGTTGTTCATGTCTTTCAGTTTGGCCTGTAGCTCTCGGGACTCCTCTGTATCCAACTGCACGAACTCAGCGCTGCACAGGTTGATGGACAGCACAATAGCTTTGCGCTTGTCATATGCCTTCTGCAGCTCCTGTAGCCAAAAATGTACATTTTACATTTAATGAATGCAGTCAAGAAAACAACAATACAAGGAACCAATATAAGGACTTGGTCTGTAGTGTCTAAACCCATAAATCAAAATGCTACATTGCATCTTTTATCATATTTGCAATCAATTAGGTAGCTAACTGAGTAGGTAACAGCAATTATTATTGTAGGATTAGGAGATCCTACACTGCACAAATACACCATTTAATGGTTAATTCTAACTAAACCAACATGCTGGAAATAAAGTACTGAGGCTGTGAAGATGGTTTGTCAATCAATTTCTCATTTCGGATTACACCATGTCACTTATGTCAGCCCTGTCAGCATTTTGTTGGTAAACTTTAGACAAGAAACAACATTTCTGACCATTTCATAAAAAATGAAACATACCACGCAAAGGTATTATCAACAGAAAACAATACCTTCAGCTTTTTAATGCGCTGCTCGATCGTTTGGATGTCCGTGCTGAGGTCCAGCCTCTGCTGCTGCTCCAGCTCTTCCTCCGTCTCTCCCAGCCAAGTCCAAACATTGTTCAGGTCAGAGTTCAGCTGCTGCCACTGCTGCTGGTTTTGCTTTGTGCGCATGTCTTTGCTGAGGTCCTGAGCCTGCAGGAGCTCCCAGCGCTCGATCACTCCTAGATTGCAAGGTGTAAGAGAAAACAGACACATTATATAAGCAGAATTTCACCTACTGGATAAAAGCCCAGAAACATTTACATATTTTAACCTTTTCCTTTCATACGGATTTATTTAAATGTATGGTAACGTAGGATATATGTGTGCAGGATAGTTTGTGGTTTAATATTACCTGATGTCTGGGACTCTGAGCTACTGGGATCTGCCAGTCCAGACACCGTGTCTTCCTCCTCTTTCAGCTCAACACCCATCCTCTTCACTGTGTCAATACTGCCACGACACTCACCCAGTAGCCGCATCTACAAAATATATGTGATAAGTTACAGGTTTATTTTGTACAAGTACAATTAGTGTAAGCAAATTACATTACACCAGCATTTCAGAATAGGATGTACATTTTAACCTTATAACAAAAACCTTTAAGCTTGATAATCAAGTGCTAATCTAAAGGGGATCATTGACTGGTAACAAAATGTTGTCTGAGCATTAATTAAAAAACATAAATAAGCATTAATGTTTCAGGTTTTATAGCAACGTTGGTTGTTACATTGCATATAAACAGATCAAACAGAATTATCACTTTATGTATAGTTTTTATGTAGTTTTGTGGTTTTGTTTTGGCCTGCTGTCAATATTTAGCTGTCAGAGTAACACATACATATCCCATGTACGAGGCATCCAGTTCTGTGCTTGTGGGTGTGCGGCTGCGACTGCTGTCCATTTGTTGCAGATGGAAACGGGTGGTGTCCAGAGGGTGAACATGTGAGTCTGTAGAGGCAACCTCTCCTGTGGACAACAACATCAGCTTGTCATCTTTGCATCTTTTTATCATTAAATATTCGATCATAATGGTTACTTGAAAATACTTTACAACCGAAGAAGAAGTGAGGCCCCGGTCAGACAGAGAAACACAAGACGTGGAGAGCAAAAAATGAGTTGAAAGAAGTCGGAATGCAGATCGGTTTCTCTACCACTTGCCACTCATGCTGCCCATCGCAGTTTGACAAGTGATTATTGTACATACTCTGTGACAAACAACAGCCTCATCTCAGTGCTCTCCTGTCTTGCTTGCATTAGGAATTGCATCCTTCATTTGAATTACAGAGTTCAAAAGCATTTTTCTTATGCAATGTGTCTCTGCGTGAACGAAGCCTACGAAAACTTTACTTTAAACAAATCTGCAATCCCTTCAGCCAGAAGTTCAGAGTTCAGACTTGTTCACTGTGACAATAATACAACATGCTTTTTCTAAAACATAAAATGCACATCAAAAAAATCCAAAGAGGTTAGCTACACATCACACTGCAAAAAAAAAGTAAGAAAGCCAGTTAGAAAGAAGGGTTAGGCTGAATTCCATTTCAGTTCTGCCGAATTAGAGAGCAGAACCAGTAAATTGAATAAATAAAAATGGAATTGACCCTATCCCACAGTGTTAGAAAGTGTTGCAATTAGTTACAGTGTGTGCCCAAAGTGTGTATAAGAGAGGAAATCAACACAAATCAAAGTCCAAGCCAGTGAATAGGCTATAAGTGTTTATCACTCAGAGTGCAGCTGTTAATTCTGCCACCAAACACTTGTGGCATGCTGGGGTCTGCTGTTGCCTACCAGTGGAGGACCTCAGTGTTTGTTCTGTAAGTTTAACATAGGCCTCAGGGCTCTCTGGGATCACTACATCTGGAAGAAACATTATACAGTACACACATTCAGCAGCGGGCATTACACTGTTTGACATGAACTGATTAACCTCTGCTGTTTTTAACCTTGTTTGATGCATCAGTGGATGGATGGATGGATGTCGCAACACAGATACGTTATCAGTCACAGGAAAATACAATATATAGTGTGACAAAGTTTACCCATCCAGAGTCTAACGAACCAAGTTTTAGCAAATACCCTTTGGTTCATGGCTGAAACTATAGCTGATTGTTTTGGGAGTCACTGATTCTATTCTGACCTATTCTGTTGTTTAGTTATAAGGTCATGTTGGGATGTTGGGATGCTCTCCCTTCTTACTTAAAACAACGTTTTCTACATGTCAAAAATAACTAGCCTACCTCATACACCATTGTTCTAAATTACAGTTCTTTAAAGTTAAATTATCACTTTAACTTTCAGCAGAATGGTTTGTGTGTTTGGAAACTAACCTGACAAGGCTGAGGCAGGCCGCGGGAGGAAGTCTCCCTCCTCACTCTGCTGCTCTCTCAGGGCTCTGCTGGCGCTCTCCAGCCCGCGGCTCAGGTCGTAGTCGTGGTCCCACTCCAGAGGAATGGAGTCCACACTAGCTGGGGTGTCCCTGCCTGAGCGCTCGGTCCGAAGCTGGGCTGCCAGTGAGGCTGAGCGTCCGGAGGAAGGCAGCGGTGACAGGAAGCCATCGCCCAAACGCTCGTTCCATGGTAGGCTGGACAAATCACCAGGCTCGTCCAGCTCCAGCTCACGGTCCGAGAATGACACTTCGGTATCGTCGTCTGCAAGCTGAAGAAAAAAATCATGACATGTATAGTTTGTGCTGATTTGAGTGTTGAGATTTAGACCAGTATTTGATGCCTGGAATTGAGCCACAATACACTGTGAAAACAAAGATTAATAAAATGTTTTTTGGTATGGTCTCAATCTCAAGTCTTACCGGAAGCCGGATAAGCTTTTTGTAGTAGCGCTCCACTCGGCCAAACACTTCCTGACAGTAGCGCTGCAGCTCTTCCAGCTCCTCCTCAATGACAGCAGCATCTAGAGGCTCGCTCTTCTCTATCAGCGCCTCTCCCTGGTGGAAGATGTGCTCAATCTTGGCTGTAGTGAGAGAGATCTCCTGTTGGAACGACTGTGGGACCAGAGGGAGAAGAGCACAGATAACTGTTTTTCATGCCAAACACAAGGTTCTTTCACAATCTCAATATCAAAATGCATGACCTTTACCAGATGATGAACTTCCTGATTTGATTTTACAGTTTTAATATTCAGTATTACTGGTGTGATAGACATTTATACAATGTCAGGGGCTGCTCTTCACAATGGCAAATATACTAAGTATATGAGATGACAAGGTGCCAAAATGCTCAGGATGTCAAAATCTAGAAATAATATATGAAAAGATAAACACACATATATGTTGGTCAACACAAAGTAAAGAAATAAGCAAGTTTGTTAGGATGTAGGTAGGTCTGGACCATGTGGGTCTGAACTATTGTTGTGACAAACCTACCCTGAGTTGTTTGATCTTGGCTTGAATGTCACACTCAGAGAAGTGCTCGATGTTGGTCAGCTGAAGGTCCATCTCCGTCAACCACACCAAGATGCCGTCTCTGGCTGTCTCAAACTCCTCTCTCTGACTAATAAAGTGCTGCATATTTGGAATCGAGATGCTGTTGTTAGAATAAGCTACAGGTGTACATTATGGAAGTATACTGTCTGTAGTATAAATTAACAACTGTGGCTTCATTAGTCATTGATTTAACATACAGTCACACAGGAGGAACCTACAGATGCTACCATTTCACATAAAAGTGAGACGAAAATTTTGAAATTTACGCAATAAAAAATGTATTAATGTATGTACCTTAAGCCTGCGGAGGATTGATGCCACCCTCTTCTGCAGGTTGTCCCATCGCTGATTGGCATCGTGAGCCATCTCCCTCAGTTGACAGGAAGAGTCTGTGCGGTTTTCTCTGGCCAGGCGGCGGTATTGCTTGTTGATTAATTCCAGCTGGGTTAGGCTTTCATGGACTTGCCTCTGGAAGGCCTACAGAAACACAGACTTTTATTAATGTGGCGTTAATCAATAGGGACATCCTTCTGCTGCAAGAATTTGTCCTGTGTCATGTCTCTTTTCTTCTTTTCTTGCAATACCTCAAATTTCTTAAGTTCCTCCTTGGCTACAGTGTACAGGACACCAGAGGAGTTGGGCAGAGCAGCAGTCTTTTCTGAAGTGGCCAGCCACTCCTCAAAACGTGCAAAGTCATCTAGGAATTTCTGCCATAAACGCCACGTCTCCTCAATCCTAACAGAGGGAGATATTAGTGAAAAATTATTATTAATAATAATAATTACATACAGAAACATCAATGACCTCTTTTCCTTCTATCTTACTTAAGTCTCCTCTCCATTGACAAGGCACAGATGCTCCTCCAGCGGCGATCAAGGCTACGAGTTGCCTGCTGGATGGAGTCGCACTCTGCATCGGTAGCACAGGCGTCACAGTCGTGCAGCAGCACCTCACACAGATTCAGCACAGACGCCACTCCTGTACTGTGCTTCTCTATGTCACGCTGAAGCTCCTGAGTGGTCAGAAAAGAGAAACAAAGTGTATGAGTGTCTATAATAATAACAGCGATACACAGGGAGAGACAAAGAGGGAAATAATAACAATGACATACAATTAGTATTACTAGTATTAAACCATAGATGAACATTCCACTAGTTTGAAGTTACAGGTTAACAGTGAATGGCTATGATAATATAATACATTCTATAATGTAGTATTGTACATATTTTATGTACTGTACATTAAGTTACCTGCTGCAGATCGAGCTTCCTCTGAATCTCCTGGGAGTCACAGGAGTCGTAGGCGATGGGTTTGGACAGCTCGGTCTCGATGTGGGCCAGCCAGGAGCGAAGGCTGTTCATATTCTTATCCAGCTGCTGCACGGCCACCAGAGTTTCTCTCAGCTTCTTCACTCTATGAACGTAATTATTGAAATGCTCTGTGTCAGTGCAATCGAATGCAAGCGATGGAAGCACATTTGTTTTGTATTCTGCATGTGTTGCAACAAATGTAAGGACTTTTAAGCCACTCAGGTGTGTCTTTTCACCTGGCTCCAATGAGATCAAGGAGGTGCTGCCAGCGGTCGCTGACTTTGTTGAGTTTTTGTTCGATTTCAGCTGCTTTGCTCTTGTGACTGGCTCTGGCCAGGCGCTCTCCCAGCTGGTGCAGCTGCAGCTTGTTCTCCTCAGCCACAGTGATTTCCTCCTGGTAGTCCTGAGACACAGTGCAACAGAGCCAGTGTTTAAATGCAATTTTAAAAGTTTGAATCCTGTATTTAAAGCGAGAATCAAAGTCAGTGTAATCTAACAGGATTTTGCGACAGTCTTTTGGTGTACATTATGGAAATAAAACAAAGAAGCCATGAACGTGTCTGATTGCGTTCATGACCAATAAATATGTAAGAAGCAAACAGGAAATAAATCAGATTAGATAGGATAAAAAAATTGGAGCAGCTATTCTGTCCTGTTAAAATATACTATATTCTACTTCCTCAGCAAACAACATAACCACCTCCTCAATCATCACTCTATCAACAGTAGCAGCAGGCTGTGACTTTAACTAAGGATGAATGACAGGTGCATCACTGGGTATAAAGCACCCAAATGTTTAAAGATGGCATAGGGAAAAATATTGAAGAAAAGCAGATATTAACATGGTAACAAGTATATTGGCAAGGACTGCATTTTAAAAAAAAAGAACTAACTATACTGATGCAGAATTTTTCACAAGGAGTAAACGATATGTTTGAGATACCAGTAAACTCAGACATATTTTTGTTTACCTTGCGGAGCTTCTCGATCATCTCCTCAATGCTGATGTCTCCGTTTTGGGAGACCTTGCTCTCCATGTTGGTGAGCCACTCGCAGAGCTCCTTGTACTTTTCGTTGAATACGGTCCACTCATTCAGCTTCTCACTCACCTGCTGCCTGCGCAGTGACAGCTGCAGAGGCACAGCAAAGTCTATATTCAGTTAAGTGCATCACTGTGCAAAGTGCATAAAAACAATCAATCGATGCATGTTAAATTGTAACAAAAGTACATTCAAGTCAAAAAGTCTCAAAAGGAAGTAGAGATCACAGAGACCACTGCACCGTGACTAATTCATTTGCATCAAGCAGCGACTGTGTGCTTCTATGTGTTTCCTGTGTGCATACTTTATCTACCCGACACAGGATGCACCTCTGAAAACAATTATGACCTTGAGGTTTCATTATGCATGCCAAAGCAACGGCTACAGACAGTAACGTTTCCTTTTCTTAAAATCTGTAGTGAAATGTCACTTTGAGTTTCGTTTAACAGAAACAGTGCACACTGTATTCATGAATATTGCATTTATATAACTGTGCAAGTCTATGTGAGAGAAAAAAAACAGAGTAAAAGCTTTTTGTTCAATCACTTGTTTTATCTTATATGAACTGAAAGTTCATATAAGATATGAACATTTACCTGAACATTTACCTTCCTTAAGATATAGCTGCATTTCTAAAACTCTTTTATCCCTATGATAGTAAGCTGTATCTGATGCCGGCTTACTGAAACCAGACCAGACCAGTAGTATAGAAGTATAAAAGTATAAAAGTCTAATGATTTTGTTTGACACCAGCACCACCATTTGGTATCTCAAGGAAGTGCAGAGACAAGACCAGTGTATCAGACACACAGTATACAGTATATTCAGAAAATCCGCTATGCACAGGTACTGTACCTGGTGGCAGATTTCATCCCATTGTCGATGCAGCAGCTCAATTCGCTCCTGTAGGACAGACAGGTCCTCAGGACTGATGTAGCAAGACAGGGACTCTCGCAGCACAGTCAGATGGGCCAGATCCCCAGTCCAACCATCAAATGTGTTCTCCAGGTCCTGTTATTGAAAAAACAGTAATATTATTAAAAACATACATTATATATTTTACCAACACCTCTTGATGTGAACAACAATGTCAATTCAATTTCTTTGAAATCACTGAAAAATGCCTAGAGTCTGTTACCTTGCAGCGCATCTGCTCAGCTTGCAGATCCTCGTGGTGATCAGGAAGAGACTGAGAGAGCTGCCGTTTGAAGGCTCGAAGTTTTTCCAGAGATCCACCAATACCTCTCTCACACCTCTCCCAGTCCTGTACACGACACAAACAATGTATACATCAGTACTATATAATTTAAAGATCAACAGCAAAAACAATAGTTGTTTTATATTAATTTCTCGATTAAGACCTGTTTTGCATTCCACATTTAAACCACAAGGGACAAACAGCTTTTAGTTTGAAAAAGAAAAGAACCAACACTGCAAAACATTTATAGTATTGCTTTAATGTCCCCTGAGGTTTCTTGTACTCAACAAGCAGCTGGCAATTAGTCTGGGTTACCTTTAACAAGGTGGCAAGCTCTTTCTTCTGTTCGTCCAGGCAGATGCTGGCATGTTTCCATCGCTCCTGGATCTCAGTAAGCTCTGCCTGCAGGGCCACCTCCGCGCGGCTATCAGCCGACAGGAGGAGTTGTCTGCCGGCCTCTACTGTCAGGATGTAGCTGCCCTGCTGACGCTGCAGCACCTTTTCCTTCAGCTGAACCAGAAAGCACAATCACTCAGATAAATTAATTCTTAATTATCAAGCTACAGACCTATAAATCTTGAAAACATGTACAGTAAAATAAATGTAGTTAATTATTTTGGAGTACCAGGTAGGTAGGGTTATCACATCAAAAACAATAAGTCAGTATCAATTTTTAAAGCCCCCTCTGCACCCAATCTGCGTCAGTCATTGCTGTAGCTGTTGTATTTCACATAGGCTTCTTCTCTCTTCATTGATCAAGATTTTGATCTTTTTGCCAAGATGCACTGCATAATATTTCTTAGTCACCCTGACAAAGATCCATTGGGACTAAAACATAAATATATATATATGTGGAGAGATGAGTGGGTGGACTAAACAGAAAATGTGTGCCTTTCAGTCGAGCACCATGTCGATAAATCTACATGTACTCTGTGTACTCTGTAAGCTTTTACATTATGTACCTGGACAGCATCCAACATGGAGCGGGCTTGTTGGAGAGGCATTGTAGTTCCTGCCTGAAGGGCTTCTGCAGGGTGGGAGACTTCCACCAGCCATCTGCGCAGCTTCTCCACCATTTCTCTGTAGCGTTGCCACTGGCGAATCAGACCGTCAATAATGCCCCGCCTCTGTTGAGCACGCCGCACTACGCCCTGCCACTGGTTACTCAGGAGAGCCAACTTCAGGTTGAATTCATCTCTGCAAGAGGGGAGGGGGGATATATTCGTCAAACGAAGACTTTTAACAGGATTTTTTTGGTAAACAAAGAGCAATGTTTTCACTATGTATAGTAATCTTCTACTTTGATTAATATTGTATAAAATATTAAGTGGTGTAATGACAGATAAGAAACACTGTGATTTTGGGCTCTTTACCTGTCATCCACCTGACCCTGCTCTAACATCCGCTGTCCATCACTGATGATAGAGTGGAGGATCTGCTGCCGACTGAACATCTCGGCTTGGAATAACTGGAAAACAAGATATTGATGATTAATGATACATTTAAAAAAACAGCTCTTTTAGGGTCTTTTACTTAAAATGGACTCTAACCTCATGAGCTTTTTGCTGCTCCATCAAACTCTGGTAGTTACCAGAAATTTCCACTGCCAGATTCTCTTCCGTTTGGACCAAGAACTCCATCCATGTTTCACACTTCTCCAGGAAGGTTTGCTGCTGCAGCAGGAACGACTGCAGTTTGCTGCAAGTACCAAAAAGAAATTGAGCAAATAAAATAAGTAATTTTGGTGCGCACTCATTCCATCATGTCAGTCATATGGGAAATTTGCCTTTACTGTACATCTGTGGTGTTTGTGATGTTATTTGTGCCAGTCCTTTTTAGAAATAGATATACAACATTTAACCCCCTTTATATATTCTTTTATGTGTCATACCTGAATCTTTCTGTGGTCTGTGCTGAGGCTGCTGACCAGCTCCTGTTGAGATTCTGCATGCGCTTGATCTCTGAATCGTTGAGAGGGAGGCGGTAACCAAGCTCATTAAGACGCTCCAGTTCAGGAGCCATACTGCTGAATTTCAGCATGAGCCTCTGTAGGACAAGAGAGAAATGTTACATTTCTCAGTATCAAGACAGTCAGTAAAATAGTTTCTTTCAATTAAGTGTCAAAAGAAAAACCTTGAGTTCCTCCATGCGGTCTTGGATGATTGTCAGGTCGGTGCAGCCGTTGGGATCTTGCACCTTCAGAGCCTCTTCAGCTTCAACTAACCAGCTCCCCAGTGAATCCAGCTGATCGTTAAATGTCTCATAGTCTTGAACTCCAGTCTGGTGTGGAAAAGAAATGTCAGCAACCCATAGGTGTAAATTCATGATTAAGACTGGCTGACTGACTACATCAGTGGGCAATTTGGAGTTAAATCTATTTGTCATGAAACTTTTTTTCTACCTGCAGAGTGGTGAGCTGTCTAGTAAGCGCCTGTTCCACAGCAGACAGCCGCTGGGTGAGAGAGAGGTGATCTGATTGGATGGCAGATGCAGCTGATGTGTCCACCTGCTGTTTTAGCTGATCGCCCAGTTCTCGGAGAACCTGCAGGGAGGCGTGCACTGGAGCTTGGGACCGAAGCACCTCCTGAGGCAAAGCACCCAAAAAAGTACAGAATATTTTTCTGTCAAAACTAAAAAAACAAAAACATGCGTAAAACAAGTAAAAATTGGCAGAGCTGTGGCTTCACTCACGCTGCATTCTTGGATCCAGTCGGACACTTCCTCATCAGCGATGTCCTTGCTGCAGGCGAGCTTGAGGAGCTGGTCTGCCTTTTCCTCCTGCAGCTGGATGCTGCAGCAGCTCTGCTCATAAAGCTCCTTGTAGCGCTGCCATAGCTGAAGCAGTGCTTTACTGCTTTTTAGACGCTCCACAATCTCCTCCAGTAGGCCAGTCCATCTGAGTGCAAAAATGACAAGGATCAGTGTAAAGGATAATGAACTCAACCCAATCAGTGATGTTAAAGCTAAAATGCATATTTCTTCAACAAGCAAAACAATAATAAAAAAAATATTAGTGTTAATCAAGATCACCTTGCATTGACATCCTTAAGGGCGTTATTGAGAGAATCTGAAACTGAAGGGTGACACTCCCTCAGCAGTTGGTGGGTCACAGCACCAAACTTTCTCAGACTGCTCTCCTGTTTCTCCAGTTCCTCTTGCAAATCCTTCACAGGTGACATACAAATACAGTGCTCAATTCACCAGCAAGGATAAACAGTGTATAACAACACATTTAGAAACACAGTACTGCAATCAGTGTAAACAAATGTGTCTGGCTGTCTACAGGCCAGCTGACAGGTATAATAAATCAAACACCTCTTTTTTCTAACATACCTGCAGACTTTGCACCTGCAGCTGAACAGCCTCCAGGGAACCCGTAAGGAGGCGGAAACGAGACACAGAGTACCTTCCCTCCATCAGGTAGCCATTGATCTCTTCGGAAGCCCGCTTGTATAGACTCCACTGATCCAGCACTGACTTCAGGCTGATGTTAAGTTGACCGATCTGTTGAAGGTGGAATAACAAACACTCAGTGACACTAAATTACAAAGACCTGGCAAGAACAGAGCAGAACAGAGGCATTTAACCAAAGTACCACATTAAAAACATAGAGTGGAAAGAGAACAGGGGAGCTTACCAAGTGGTCCAGGTTAGCCCAGGTGTGATTGACACCCTGGAGCGTCTCCATGACAATAGCACAGGCCTCATCGGTCTTGTTCTGGACAAGGGCACAGCCCTGCTCCTCCACCCTCTCTAGTTCTTTCTCTTTTTCTTTCACCAGCTCTTCCATTTCCTAAAAGTTAATAGTTTTCACATGATATAAAAAAAAACATGGAGTTAAAAAGGTGTTATAATAACAGCATGTAGGAGTATAACACATTTTGATAAATCAGTGTTCAAGAGAAGCCTACATGGCAGTCTTTGAGAGCATTCTGCACAGATGTCAAATCCTCTATCCGGTGTTTCCTCTTCAGCCTTTCTTCTTGTGCAGTCATCCAGGATTTCAGGGCCTGAACACTGCTCTCATACTCCAACCACATCTCCAAAAGGCTCTCCAAGAACTGGATCTACAAGTATTTCATACAAATTAAAAAGGAAGTGGATTTTGCACTACTAAATTACAATGACTGTTTCATTAAGTGTATCAGTAGCTATAACCTCACCCTCTCATTGATGCGGCCTTGTAGGATCTGCCAACGTCGGTTCATGGCTCCCAGTCGCTCAGCAAAGTCTGTCTTATCGCTGCGCTTACTCTCCACATCCTGACCACTGATCTGCAGCACTGACTGGTTGACAAAGTCCACAGTCAGCTGCTTACAGCTTAAATCTACTCTGAAGCCCTGAAATGGAGGAAACAGCAGTAAATTTACAATTAAAATGGCAGCCACAAACCATCAGTTGTAATTGGAATCACAGACATAATAATCAGGTCAGTAAGACTAGATACAAGAAATACAAGATGAAATCAAGAACATGTTTAAACACCTAAACTTTGGACATACACCTATGCTATTAAATACTTTGATTTATAGCTAGACAACAATTCACAGTTTATTCCAATACCTTGTATTTTTGCAAGTAGTCCTGAATCACATTTGACCCCACTGCACTCTTGAGGTTTTCTTCATCCTCCTCAATGACATTCTCCATCAATGATATCCAGTTGAACAGCTCAGAAATGGCATGACGGGAGGCCAACTTCTCCATTTGGATCTGAGAAGAAATTACACCCATTGGACCAGTACATTAAACACCAAGGACGAAAAAATGCACATGCTGCCAGTTTGAGGGCAACAGTGTGTGAAAACTCCTGTATAGGAGTGAAGCAGCAGAAAAGGGATAATCCTATTTGCCCTGCCGGAGCTAAGCCTGTTCAGTCTGGCTGCATGTGACGATACCTGATGCAGCTTCTCTTGGACCACTGGGATGCGTGTGAGCAGCTCAGTCCACTGAGTGTCAATGCGTGCCAGTTCAGACCGCAGCACCACCGTGTCCACTTTCTTCAGACGCAGCAACTGGTTGCCCTCGGTTACCACTGAGTTCTTCAGGCTGGACTTGCCTTCAACTTCCTTTGAAAACTCCTGAGACAGACAGTGACAGGAATCATCAGCTGGTATACATTCAAAGGTGTATTTTATGATGTTACTACATATGTAGCTATCTACAGATGATACAGCAAGATTATTACTACTACTTCCATGACAACTACTACTACAAACAAAATCTTTTCAAAAACGCTATTATCTAACAGTAAAGTACTTAAATACCAAGCATATGCTATAAATCTCAGCTCGACACAGACTTAATGGTTCCATATGGCGTATCTTAGATGAAAATAATGCTACAATTGCCTTTGACTAAGGCCTCAGAGCGGGAGTTTATGTACTTTGTTTTACTGTATTTATTTGTGTATTTAACAGGGACAAACACATAAACTTTGTTACATTAAAAGGAGTAATGCAACAGATCTAGTTGAAGCAAATGTGCAGTACCCGACACCCAGGCTATTACATTCTGTTCGTTAACTGATTCAGGATAAAAAGACGACAAAAAAACAAACGTAATCTCATAAAAAATGGTAACTGTGTTTGTACCCAAACAAAGAACTGTGGCAGCCCACACACTTAAATAGTTAATAATGGGTCAGATGCAGAGGGCTGATGTCGCAACAGGGATTAATAAGTGTAACTTAATTGGCTGGGTAGTAATTTTTTAAGTTTCCCCACACATGTGGAACTACTACGTGTCCAGCAGTGGAGCCTGTTAAAGTTTTGGACAGCTCTAACAATTCTACCACCTAAATATCTGGATCAATAAAATGTAAAAGAAAATAAATCTGAGAACTCACAAGAAAAGCAGAGAGATGGTCTCTGACAGTTTCCAGCTCCTGTGGGACTAACACTGCCTGTGTATTCCAAAACTCCAGACGCTCCAGAGCAGACTGCAGCCATTGGCTAAGCTCTGCACACTCCCTCTGATACCTGGAAGAAAAACACACTTCAATCATATAACAATGCCATGCAATGATAATTAATATTTGAGTTCATAAATCACATGCACAGTCTTAAAACTTAAATTTTAAATTTGAAGTTTTGTAAACCTGAAACTTGCCATCAGAGCTGTGGAATTACTAATTATTGACTATTAAAGACCCTTATTAATGATAATAATGTTTTCTCTGTGGACTCTGGTAATGTCCCTAAGATTTGTTTTCTATCCGATGCCTAAAAACAGTTCTGATTCTGATGTGTTTCTGACCTGGTCCAATGTTTTAAGATGGCCTCCAGGCGCTGTAATTCCTTGTTGACCTTGCTGGTGTTGTTGAGCCAGTGTTCCCCCAGCAGCGTGAGTTGATTCTCCAGTGCAGGACAGCACACTGACAGCAAGAGATGTTTGCCCTCATCCAGTACCTGGTATAACTTGTGCTGATGCTCTGTCAGTCTCCCCTTTAGACCCTTTACAGAGAAAGGAAGAGGAAAAGATGAACAGCGAAATATTAGAAAAGTGAAGCTGGAGAAGCACCAGCTGAGAAGGTTTAGGTGAAGAAAGTGAGTATCCCTCTCCCTACTACAGTCATGTTTCCATTAATGAGGGTGCTGAAGTAAAAGTAAAGCAAATCCCAAATAAAACTACACCAAGAAGCTAAGATAATAAATGCATATTGCCCTTCCTTTGGTCCTCTTTGGCGACATATCAGCTTCCTACTTTAACAACAGTATCGTATCAAAACAAGGAGGCTTACTGAGGCTATTTAAGATTTTCTGCCATAATCCTAAAATCTGCATGGATGTCACTTTCTACCTGATACAATGAGATTCTGTCCATGAGCCTTTCTTCAGTCTCTTCCACCAGGCCAACAGTAGGGATACTTCCTTCAACTGCCTCCAGTTGGCGATTCAGACTCTGATAATCCTGCACCAAGCGGCACCAAGTCTGAAAAAAATAAAATAAAACTTCAGATGAACAGATGAAGACCACAATAAAAGACTGCTGACACATTTCTATTCCATGATAAATACAACTATTTTCTTTTAATCAATATTCATCAATATTCACTTCACTTATTTTATTTAATAGAGGTTTTGCAGTGATGTTAGTATGACCACTTTCTGTGCAGCGAAAAATCTGGTAAAAAGAAACAACTGTTTATAAAAATCAACTCCATTCTTATAAACATTCAGATTTCAGATTTCCTATTACTATATCAGAATGCTTTCAAAAGAAAAAGAACGGTTAACACAAAGAGTATTTCCCCTCTTACCTCCAGGATACACTCGAGCTCAACTCCTTTACTGTGTGCCTCTTTGAGGACACTCTGAGCCTCAGCCAGTGTCTCCTCCAGGGCCTGACTCTCTTTGGGAAGCATCAGACCACTGATTTTTCTGAAGTATGTTTCTGTTAGAATCATATGGGACTCCAGACCCTGGAAGAACTCCTAGAAAGCACAATCAGACATACAAACACAGTCATTTTTCTCACAGTGGCTTGTTTCCAGCATTACTAGCTTTGTGTTCAATGTTTCACACTGTTGATTATAAATAATCCTTTCTATCTCAACAGAGCTCCAAGTTGACCAAACCTTATGTTTGTCGAGGTGATTCTGGACTTCCTCCACAGAGCTGGCAATGATCCTCTGATCGGCAGCCATCTTGTCTTTAGCTGTGTCCACCAGATCAGTCAGGTCCTGCAGAGCACGCTCGTACTGCTCCTTCAGAGCCATGTTCTGGTTCAGCCCACTGCGCCGGGAACCCACCGTCATCACCAGCTCCTCGTAGGAATCCTGAAAACACATACAAAGAACATTGTGTTTTGCTTAAATTATTCTGTCAATCTCCTGTTGTATGTGTTAGATATTTGCCAAAGAGTTACTAGGATTGCTATAAATAAATAAATAATAAATAACTCGTAAACAAAACTCCCCATGCACTGCCAACAACAGTCTGCTGGTATGTCACAGGACCATGTACTTACCACCGCACACTGGAATGACTTTACTGTGATTTACATAATTTTCTAACTATAGGTAAAACATGACAATTTCTTCATGGTACATTCAGATAATCTTGGGACACAAACCTTGACCTAGTATCACAATAAGTTTGTTCCGCTAGACTCAAAGTCTGCTCAAATAAACTAGAACAATTTTTAAAAACTACTTTTTCTACATTTATTTTAGAGATTTCACAAACAATTTAAGTTGTAAATAAGTTAAACCCATGCTGATCAGCGTTTACTACATGGTTTTTAGGCTAAGCAATTTCTAATTAGAGCAGTCAGTAATGTTACCTGGAGCTTTAATATTTTGTTTGTGGATATCTGATCCGCCTGTAGTGCTGCTCCTCTGGTTTTGAGCTCCGTAATCCTTTGTTCAAAGTCTTTTAGGCTCTCCTCTGCACTGGCAATAACCTGAGAGAAATGACAGTACTTATATTTAATAACATTCACAATCATTTTTAGGTTCTCTTTAAGCTTTGATGTTTGTGTGTACATGCATGTCTATGCCAAAGCTTGGATTACCTCCAGTTGTTTTGAGGCTGGTCTATCCATGGCTCCAGCTAAGGCCTGTAGGATCTGGCACTTTGTCTCAATTAAAGCAGTTTGGAGAAGTTGCAACTCAGTCTGTATTAGACAAAAGACAATTTATATGAACATTTATATAAAGGTGTATGGGATTATGATAGATATCATACAGTACGCATGTGGCTATACTGAAATGTCCATGTAGTGTGTCTTTTGTGCAATTAAGTACTATATTAATAAATATCAAGCAAACCTGGTAGGCTGTGAGCTCATGTGCTCTGGTCCGCATGCGGTCACAGCGTTGGCCCAGGGCACAACCCAGAGCTCCTAATCTCTCTTTCAGGCAGTCCAGGTTGTCCTCTAGCAGCGCTCGGTCCTCTTGTCTCAACCCTGAAGATCCAGCTAGAAGAGCCTGGCTGAGCTTCACGTCCTCTGTGACATGCCTCACATCGTTTTCTAAGGTCTGGAGGAAAGTTCAGGACAGTTCAGAAAGATTAAAAAAATACTCAGCTGCAAAATGCATTATCCACACTGCAACCTTGATTTTCAGTTTTGAATCCCAGTGAGAAACAAAAATTTATCTTTTTTTATTTAGTGTTGCTACCCATCCAAATTTTTAAACTTCAGCCATATAGTGTATCAGTATTCAACGTTTTGTAGAGATCTAGTATTTTCAATGCATGGGTATTTCCAGGCATATATGATTTGCTATTTCTACCTTTCAACCTTCTGCACCTTAAAGAAGCTGCACAAATAAGCCTGATTGTACCTCTTGCTTTTGTAGCTGGGTCTCGGCGTTTTCAGCCAGCAACACTGAGCCAGAGAAGACGTTGTTCTCCACACCATCCAGCCAGGAGGAGGTGGATGACACAGCTGCGTAGAGCTGCTGTTCCATCTGCGGCACCTGTGTCTCACCACCACCGGACTATGCACACACAAGTTCACATGTTGAACTACATATTTCAATGTTGCACTGTCGTAGATTTAAATGGATAATAATGTTATGGAAAGAGTAAAACCTGAGTGGTCATGTCCTCTATTATTTGTCTGAAGCTATCATACAGGGTCTTCAGGGAGGATTTGTCAGCCTGTGTCTCTCCTTTAAACAGTGATCCAGCTGTGGTTACACGAGAAGCTCTGGAATATACCTGCAACCCCCCCCAGACAAACAGACAACAGTCAACAACAGTCCCTGGCTTTAAAAATTGATGATATCAAGTTCAATGTCAATATCATTTACTTCTACAATATACTAGAGTTTGTACCGGCTGTTTGTGGTCCTGCTCCAGGGTTTTCTGCAGGAGCTGCAGTTTTGTTTTAAGTTCTAGTCTCAGGCTCTCCCATCTCTGCCTCATCTGCTCTCGAGCAGCCTGAGATTCCCTCTCAACCAAAGCTGCTGGTGAAAATGGCTCTGTTGTGCTGCACGGTAACAGAAATGTGAATTAATTATAGCTCCATTTATAATTTGCCACAGGAATCATTAGATATATTAACTTAACATTTTACTGTTTGATTTGACGTATATCTGTATATATGTATAGTATAACAGAATGTAAATACTTGGCACTGCTGGGTGAGGCCTGCTGGATGAGGATCTCCTCTCCTCTGCTAGCAACTGATTGGAGCAACTTTTTCTGTTCTGCAAGCTGCTCCTCCAGCTCCTGAAAAGCAAACATGACAATATTTAAATTAGACTTTGTATGATGGAGTTTTGTTTGATTGATTTTTTTATTTTTTATTTTATAAGAGTATATGTAAAAGTGCTGCACTATGCAATAGTGAAAAAACAACAACAAAGAAATCACTTGAGAAAAGATTTTTAAATTTTTACTATCACTGGCCTGGCGGCGGCCCATTGCATTGCAATGAGGACTCTGTACTAAAGCAAGAAAAGTACTTAAGTATGTGAAAATTTACCCTCTGTCTCTGCAGACTGTCCTGGTGTTGTTGGGAACGTGTGGTCCGGGCCTGGGCCAGCCAGTCCTGCACACTGGGACTCTGAGAGAGGCTGGAGTCTGATTCACTGTCCTCTTGCTCCTGCAGAGAGCCCTGTAGGACCAGACAATGTATTATATAAAATTTAAAAAACATACATCAGCATGTAAAGTGTAAAGAAAGACTCAGCAAAGAGGTGCAGGATAAACATTCATTATATTCTCTTAACTGGCCTTTTATCTTTTTTATGTTTTGCTGATTGACATATAACAAATGGACAAAACACTTAGGACAGCATAAGGCATTATCATACTGAATACATGAATAGGGTGGGGCCAGTTTTTAAAAAAAATCTACACTGTGAGCAAAACACCCACAGTGGGGACTTAACCCAATATTCCTTACCTCTAATATCATGTGGTATTGTTAAAGGTTTGGCACCACACACATCAGTGTATGTCAACATTAAAGCATGTAGCCACCTCACCTGGATGTTAATCTGTTTGTCTTGTAGCATCCTCTGCAGCTCCAACAGGCCGCCCTTCAGTGTGCGTAACTTCCTGGCCAACTGCTCGGCTTCCTCTCTCGTCTCCGTCCGGCCCTCCAGCAGCAGGTTCTCACTGTGCATGGACAGCTCTGACAGGGCCAGCACCTTCTCTTCAATATCCAGCAACATGTTCTGTAGTAGCAGGAGGAGAGAAGCCAGCTCAAACATGGTGTCTCACCAACAACAGCCCTCCACACGAACAGGGCAGGGTCTGGCTGAACCCCCTACACCAGCAGCTTTCCCAAGCCACAGGTCAGGGAGAGCTCTCCCTCTGCCGTCATCCTTGGCCCACCTCTCCCGCCTCGACTTCTGTGTAACATATTGCGCCTAATCCTTCATGCTCCATGCTCTGCAGCACACATGCTCACACACAAATATAAAGGTAACTCTTTTGTGCAGAACACCATTCTAAGTTCGGACCAGTTAACGATGCCCATCAGTGAATGCTGTTCCAATGTTTGAAGAGCCTAGCATTGCCATGACTCTGTGATCGATAGCTTCGGCAGGTTATTCTAAGAGTAACCCTCCCTCCCTCCCTCCCTCCCTCATTACCCTCAGTGTTGACTAGGATTCCCCTACTTGGATATTCTAGCAGCTTTGTCACCAACACCAATCCCGGCAGCGGGATCTATTAATCGTCTGAAAGCCACAACCCCTCACTACTCCACTCCCTATGCTGCTAACAGGCTCCTGTCACACAGAGCCATCTGCGTAATCTGCTTAAGACTAGTGCTACAGTCGCTTAGGAGCCCAGCCATCTGAACGCCCCTCTAACTCCACTAAAGCTCTTGTTTACAGACCGAAAGTTTCCTGTCCCCCTGAGATGATCCACATGTGATAAGGGAACAACATTTTGAAGTATAAGACGGATGTAAATAATCCACTGGCAAATTTGCATTAGTGTACTGACCAGAGACAGTGGCTGAACACCTAGAAAACAGAACTCCAGTACACAGTACTGCCATACAGGACAGCTTGCTAGGGCATATTATTAAGCAACCTCATCTTCATACATTCATTCATACTCTTAAGTAACAATTAAACTAAACATGTTTGCATGCATTGCTCTGAATGAACAGCAGGGGGTGCTCTTACCTGACATTCAGCAAGCTGATCCTCCATCTCTGTCTCCTCTACAGGTTTAGGTTCAAGGATGAAGGTTACAGCACTGCGCATTCTGATCAACCACTGGTCCAGGTCATCTGCCTGGGTGACATAGAGCTGTATGGCCTGTTCCTGACGTTGACCCTCCAAGCGGTCACTAACACGCTCCTAGGACAGAGCACAGCACATTTACCTTATCAATTCATGAAATACATTCATTTTCTGATAGAGTCATAAAATATATATATATATTTTTTTTAAAGTATTTTTGGGGGCTTTTATTGCCCTTAATGATATTAAGCTGGAATACAGACAGGAAAGAGGGGCATAGGAAGAGAGGAGACACGCAGCAAAAGCGCAGTCAATTCGGAAACCCGTGTGCCGCTGCAGCAAGGACTCATCCTCAGTACATGGGTCGCCAGCTCTACCCACTGAGCTAACTGGGCACCCTGATAAAATAAATATCAATAAAACAAAACCATTAGCTGCTATTTGGCGTGATGTACAATCTTTACAAAAACTACCTCCAACAGCTGCTGTTTCCCTGTGGCCTTCATGCGGATGGTGGCCATCCTTTCAGCTAACACTGCGAGGGAGGACTGCATGGCCAGCTGGTCAGCCATGTCTGAGTCCACAGCATTCGAGGCCAGATCCTCTGTGAAGCTTGTCTGCAGCCTGTTTATTTCCTCCTGCACACTCTGAATCTCTTCTATCAGACCCTGGAGAGGACAGCATTGCTACAGGTGTTACTGATTTCTATGTTGGTCAAAGGGAAGAATGATCTTTTTCATGTATGTAGACACGGTGACTAAACAATAAATATCACAAATTCCAAATTTGGATGTTATAGACGGGGCAGTAATTTCCTATTCAATCCCCTAAATTAGTTTGTTGAAGGTAGGAGTGTTTTACTATAAATTGTAATATTATAAATGCAAAACAAGGTGACCCAAAACATATTTTCCGCAGACCTGAATCCTAAGCAAAGTATTATTTTATATATTTGACACAGTTCGACAATTATACTTTGCATTACATGAGCGTGTGAATACGTGCATGAGTTCTTACATTATTTTACAAGTATGACAACTCCCTACCCTGTCATTTTTTGTACTTTATTGTACTGTGACGACTCACCTCATGTGCCTTAATGTGACTATCAGGGCTTTTGTCTGCCTCCAGAGGTTCACTCAGTTTGGCCTCCAGAGCCTCCATTTTAGAAGAGATTGACTGGAGTGAACTCTGGTAATGCTGCTGCTTTTCCAGAGCTTCATACAGAGACCTCTGCTTCTCGCTGATCTGTTAGAAGACCAAATGGACAATGAAAAAGTGCTAAGCCTGATAACAGTCACTGAGAATCAATAAACCACCAAGCTGACGTCTTGTATTATTCACATACCACATTTTTAAGTGTCTCCCATGAGCGCTGCAAGTCATCTAAGTTGGCCACAGACTCAAATGTCGGATCATACAATTCTTGGATTGGAGCTCTTGTGAGTGTTCCTCTTCCCAACTAAAAATTCAAAGAGTTAAGATGAATTAGTTATGAAACAGATGGCATAACAGATAAAAAAAATACTTCTATAAACCCGTAAATTTACTGTTAGCGAGGATGAACTTGCGGGTGCAGGCGGAGAACTGATGTGGATTAATACTTTCCATGGTTTGTTTTTGCCTTCTTCGTGTATTAATTGCATTTATTAATTGAGACTATTTCGTTTAACTAGACACTTATTACAGGAAAGATTACAAAAAAATTTGAGAAATATTTTTGACAGACCAGATAGGCCTGATAGAAACCACAAATTTCATAAGCAATTTTGCTGAAAGACCAGAATGACTGGGGGAAAAAAGCTATCAAGAAGAAAAGAGAAGGTAGATACCTTGGTTATAGTGGCTTCAGTGTGAGTGATGGGAGAAGGAGAGCGACAGACAGGAGGGGAAGAGACCTCACTGTTAGTGCCCTCCTCCCCAGACTCCTCAGTTACAGGAGACAGGAGGGTGTGACAGCGGCCAGCCGTCATCTGACACGCCATGCAAGAAACATTAACAGAAGAGCAGACATGCAAGGTGGATTGGGAAAGATTAATCATAATCTATGTGTTTTTTCGATAAAAGTGGCACAATGCACCTTACAAAAACACATATTTTATAATGAAAGCAGGCTAAAAGGTAAAAAGTAAAATTAAAGGAATAAAACTCTTTAGAACTCTTTAAGCTAAAGCCAGAAATAGCAGAATGAGTCAAGAGGTTTATTAGTTAGGCAATGCCATTACCAACGATGCAAATAGCTTTGTCAGCAACACTATGTTATGTGGTATATTACTGTATGTGCTCTTACCATGACAGTTTGTGCTGAAGACTTCTTGGATTTCTCATCTTCCATCTCCTGCAGCCCCTCAGGCAGCCCTTCCACATCACTCACTGTCAGCAGCATAGTGGCATGTTTGGCCTTCACTGCCAGCATTTTGCACTTTGAGTTTAGTGAGGCGATCTGCTCTTGGTAACCTTTGATCTTCTGGGCCAGTTCCTATTTAAAAATAAAAAATTTGCATCTCATTTTGCAGTTATGAAGACATTTCACCTATGACACTACTACAGAGAATATCATAAGCAGGAATGAGGATTGCACTGAATGAGTTGAATAAATACAGATGTTGCAGAGCAGTGGATCTGCATTCAGTACTGATGCCATTTGGCAAAAGGAACCTTGACTTAATGCCTAAACCTTTAATGTTCATTTCACAAATTAAGTTCTTGTTTTATGTGTGTTTTCTTCCCTTTAATTCATTTCTTCCCTGTGCAGGAAAGTTGGGTTAAATAAGTAAATTGTAAATGTAAATGTATTGTACTTCATGGTGAAGGATCTGGGCCTGCAGCTCCTGGATGTTGCTTGAGGGGATCGGTCGGTCCTGAATGACACGGTGTGCTTCCTCAATCAGCCCCTGTAGGTCTCTCACTTCCTGTTCATATTGCTCGTATTGCACCACTGCCTCCTAGAGAAAGAAATTGTTTTGTTACTGTTAGATGAACAGTGGTATAAGAAATCTGTGCCACAGGAATGTCCCCTGAAACATTTTGTTTATCCATTGTCTTTGCTTGTGGCCATCAAAAAATTCTTAAACATCTTACAGCTTGTTTACTTAATAGCATTGTGACTAAAGCAACGAGCGTTTGAAAAGACACTGCATATTGCTTCAGGATGCAGAACTGACCACAATATGACGTAACTGCTCCAGCAATAGTGCCCCCTACTGTACCTGAAGGATGTTGCACTGCTGAATGGCCACGTGCTGCAACAGACTGGCCTCTTGCTGCAGACGCAGCGCTGTGCGACAGATGGCAAGGTTGGGCATCACCTCCTCAGGGACCTGCAGAGCACTCTGACACAGCTGCACTGCCTGCACCTGCTGCTTGAAGCTCTCCATATCTGCCAACAGACGCTGCAAAAAATAGGAAACGTTTACATTGTGCGAAACTGCAACAAGCTACAATGTGCAAATTAAGCAGCCAAGGTGCTTTATGACAAATTACAGGCTGCATCAAGGATTATTTTAATGTGGTGTGGTTACTTGTCTCTGAGCCAGCTGTTCTTTGAGGCTCTGGCGCGCCAGCTCTGGCGAGGTCAGTGTGGCTTGGACCTGCTCCAGAGCAACATGTAGGGCCTTAACTTCATACTCCAGGGCTTCCATACTCTGAGGACATATACATGAGTCAATTATACAGTATATTTGTTCCAACGTATGAGCTACAAGCATACTCATTCCAGGATATTGTATGAGTCAAATATAATAATAACCTATATATAATTCTCTGTACCTTATTTGCATCCTCCAAGCTCTGCAGACGTATCTTAATGCTTTGCTGAAGCTCCTCAGTGTGTCGACTGAGTTCCCAAACCTGTTGGCTCATAGACTCGACCTGCAGGACCTCAGACAGAAGCTCCACTTTCTCTGCCATTGATTCCAGGTCCCCATGGAGCTCACGAGACTCACGAAGGACAGCCTAAGCACAGGGCAACAAGGCAGTGAATGAAAAGGTATGTGTGGTATGGTCTCCTGGTTAAAAGAGATGCTTGATTCTCTGCAACATGTGCCTTTGATGAAATGTGTGCATGGGTAAGAATCCTGATGTGTCTGTGAACTTTGTGTGGATAAGCATGAATCCAGCTCATACCATGTCCCACACTTTCCTTCTCTAAATTATATGGAGAGAGGCCAATAACTCTTCTGAAAAAGCCAAAATGTCTGTAATTGAATATCACAATAGAATCCATGAGGATGCCTGTCTGGACCCATAACTCACCTGGTACATTCGTATCTGCTCCTGCAGATGAACGGAGGAGTTCCAGATGATGTTGGCCCTCAACAGGCTTTTTGCTTTCTCCGACCACCTCACAATGAAGTCAAGCATCTCATTATACTCATCTAAATAGCAGACAGCCTGTGGAGCCAAGATAAGAGGGAGGCCATATGGTTAAAGCACAGCACAAAATAAATAAAGGATGTAAAATAGGTAGTCACTGAATTGTGTTATGTACAGGGAATCAGAAAAAGCAAACCTTCTTGAGCCAGTTGTTCCTGCAGTCTGCTAGCCGTGTTGTGTGATGATGCATCTCCGATAGCTTGCTGATGGCGTCGCCAAGCTGTTTGGCCAGCAGGGGGCTTCTGCGGCCAAAATCTTGCACAGCAGCATCCAGTTCTGCGAGGGTGCGACCACAACAGTCCAAGTCCTCAGCCAAGCTCTGCAAAAAGAAATTAAACATATATAATTAAATATCTCGACATCTAATAGTCTTGAATAATAGTAACTATACATTGACAATAAGCTAAAACAAGATTACCCACCTTAACCTCTTCTTTGGCATGATCAACATCAGGAGATTTTTCCTTGAATTTAGCGGAGATTGCTTTGAGTTTCTCTGAGGTGTCATGGATTCTAGAGCTGAAGTCCTCTTTTATTTCTCTGGTTTTCTGAATTTCTCTCTCTTTCGAAAGAACCTAGAATATATTAAGAAATGTCAACAAATGCTACATGAATTCTCTTGAGGAATTGACATAACCTAATCATTTAGATTATACAAAATTTAAAGAGGCCCATTAAGGCCTTACTTTGAAACCTATTTAAATGGTACAGTACCTGATCCTCAATGGCACCCAATGCAAGTGAGACCTCAGCCAGCTGCATGGAGATTTCAGAGGGCAGTATAGTGTAGAGGTCCAGGTACTTGCTTTGTTGCTGCTCTGCTAATTTATCCACATTCTGACGATAAGTGATCACATCTCCATGTACAACCTGGACCAAATGGAGAACCCATGTAACTTTTTTCAGAAATAACAATATTGAAATAGCAGTGTTTTAAGGGTTGACGAGAAAATCAGGGAGAAAAAAATCATTTTTCTGTTTTAAGATGTGAGATATACCTCAAGCTCCTGCAGCAGAGAATCAATATCTGGTGTGGGGTTAAGAAGAAGCTCCCTGGTCTCCTGAATCCAGGCTTTTACAACGCTAAGTTCCTTCTCCACTTCCTCTCTCTCCCTCAGTTCCTGAGCTGTTTGAGCCCGCTTGGTCCTGGACTGTGTCAGGAGGCTGGAGGCAAAGAGAAAAAAATAAAATATAGTAACTTCATTTCTACATAGTAAATTATTAATTAATAATAAATAATAAAACAATTTACTTTTAATTTAAATCAAACTATGTATTTAAAAAAAAATCTACATTAAAACAATACCACAGGTTTATCTTCTCACTACCTTTCCATTTGGTCTTGTACAGCTCGGATCTCCTTCAGGCTGGGCAGTTCATCTTGCTCATTTGTTGGTGAAGGCACTTCCACATCGTGCAGCAGGCTGAGAGCATACTGGCGCAGCAGTGTGAGGGAGGAGAGCTCTCTCTCCAAGTCTTGGCTCAGTAAGTCATGCTGGTCCAACAGAGATTGCAGAGTGGCTTTGGAAGCCTTCTCCACAGCACTGTCAGGGAAACGACCTTGGAGCTCATCAGAGACTGCTCTCACCTTCACCATCTGCACAAAATGATTACAAAAGTTCAGCTACAAGTAAAAAACTATATTTTAATTTAATTATGGAATATATATTTTTACCCATTGTCATTCTGTGTACCTTCTCTCTAAAAGTCCTCCATTCCTGTGCTGTATCCTCAAGTACTCTCTCCTGTCCCCGTGCCACGCTTCTGAGTCGTGTCCAACGCTGCCACACAGTGGTCATGGAGCGACTGATGGTGGCCTTGCTGGCATCACTCCCTACCAGCTCCAGCTGGGCAGCTTGCTCCTCTAAACCACTCAGCTTCTCTTGGAAGCCATTCACCAGTGATACAAGGGACTGAAAAACAAGAGACAATTAATAAACTAAGTGCAACGCATTCATAGAAGCACCTATTGTTTGAACTGTGAAATGACTTTCTTTTGTCCTCTCATACCCGATGACTGCATAGCTTATCTTCAGCCTCTTGGCTTGTAGCTGCCTTTGCAGTGGAAAATTCAGTCAGCTTCTTTTCAGCCTCATTCATGAGTTCAATGACAGTCTGCCTTGCCTCCTGGTAGGTCTTCCACTGATCCACACAGCTACAAAAAACAAAACATATTAGAGGTTAAAACACCATTATTAACAGAATATCTGTATTGTCACTGTACATTACAGGTACACCATCACTCTGAAGTTTTCATTACCTGTGAAGGACATCCTGGTGACACTGGAGCTGATCTCTGACCTCCATGCCTCTCTGCTTCGCTGACTCCACACTCACACGGAGCTGCTCTTTAGCTGTGGGGTTAACCAGGTTCTCCAGCTGAGGCAGAAGGGCCTGCAGCTCCTCCAAGTGGGTGAGGAACTCCTGCTCTGTGGCCATGATGTCCACCTGCTGCCGGAGACACTCCTCGTAGTTCTCCACATCCACACCCAGGCTAGCCTGCTGCAGGAAGGACACGGCATCCTCCAGCCATTCACAGGCCGACTGCATCCTGAAGTGGTACTTCTGGCACAACACCAGAGCGTCCTCCAGAGTAATCTTTTTAGATGAAAGCAGTGAAGAAAATTAATCATCTTTTAATACTTAGGTATAAAAACACAGATTCTGAATGAAATTGCTCTGATGCTTCCCACCAAATTACAAAATAATGTACAAATAAATATGTATAAAATAAATAAAGTACAGATAAACCATTTAGCTAAAATTAATATACTATATTAATATTTTATAGAATATTGAAATAATGTAATATTGTCCCACCTGTTTGGAGCTCAGTGCTTTCTGAACATCTGCCTGCAGCTTTGCCATTTCTTCTAGGCTTGTATCTACGTGGACTGGGACAAGCTCATTTGCGCTGATATACTGCTGTTTTTCCCTGCTACTGAGAGCAGCCACTATTCTCAGTCTCGACTGTACTTCCTCCTGCATGATTTGCTGCTTTCTGATCTCCTCCTGCACCTTCTCCACCCTCACATCAACAATCACAGCACAGCCCAGTTCATCCCTGACTTGCTGCAGCCAGTCCAGTGTCCTTTTCATCTCTGTCTCAAAGTCTTTACTTTGGACAAACCTGGTCTCACACTCTTCAATCAGATCCCCTACTGCGGCCTGCAAAGAACGCAGCTCCTCTTGCCACAGAACCACTTGCTCCTTGGAGGCATCATGAGCTGCTTGGTCCACGCGGGGTGCAAGGGTATCCATCTGGTCCATGAGCCTTGACAAGTGAGAGTTGGCACTCTGGAGACTCCCCGCCAGAGCATGGTAGTTCTTCAGCCTCTCCTCAGCTGACTGCGTCTCTGCATTAACTTTTACCAGCTGCTCTTTTGTGGCCTTTAGCTCAGAGTCAACCTGCAAAGCCATTGCCTTGTGGTCCTCAAAGGACTCCAAGGTTTCATCCAGATGCTCGACCTTCTGTTCAACCAGCCTCTTAAGGCCGTTGTACAGGCTCACAAGCTGGGTCATTTCCTCTGGGCGCCACGGTTGACCGGTGCTACGAAATCCCTCTTTCTTCTGGTTCAGTTCACTCACAGCTAGACCCAGGTTGCTCAGGTCTGCCTGGATAGCTTTGTAGTCACTCTGCAAATTGACAACCTCTTCTGTTTGCAGCCCAACAGGCTGAGTGCCCAGATTGTTGAACTGTTCCTCAAGCTCTTTCAGTGCTTTATGAGTGACATCTATGAAAGAGGTGTACTCATTCCTCGTGAGAATGGCCTGCTGAATTTTCTCCTGTTTTTCTTTGGCTAGCGCTAAAATGCTATTATATTGCTGCGGGAGGGTGTTGAGTTTTTCATCCAAATAGCAGTGGTCTACTTCATTCAGACTGGGCAAAATTTCTTGGCCAGCTCTTTGTACAATTAGGAGAAGATTCTCATATTCAATTGCCTGCTCGACTATGTGTTGATATTTAAGTAGCTGCGCTTCCAATTCAGCATCTCCAACCATCAGATTGATTTCAGGGAAGGTGACTATATCAGCTTGTTTTATCCACAGGCAAATTTTCTCTAAATCAGTCTTGAAATACTTTCTGGAAACAAATACTTTTTCAAGCTCCTGAAGTTTCTGGCCACATCTATGTAATGTTTTGTCAAAGATGTTTTGTAATTCCTGCAACTTTGTGAGAATCTCATTCTTTTCTTCCTCGCTGGCATCCCTCATCAGGTCTCTCCCCTGAGACCACAGGGAGGTCAACTCGCTCTGATAGGCTTTCAAACTGCTTTGAATGTTCCTACATGTTCTGACCTGCTTGGCCAGGTCATCAGGTAACAAAGCAATGTACTCCTCTGCCTGTGCCTTCTTCTCATTCTGCTGGACCCAGGAAATGGACTGGTTTACAGCCATCAGGAACTGTGTTCTCTCTGTGAAAGCCTTGCTGAGGTGTTTTCTGCGCTGCACAACCTTCACACTCAGAGATTCCACCTCAGATTGAGTGTCTGCAATAAGTTGTTGCAGACGTTGACGTTCACTGAGACCCAGCCGGGCCAGCACCCTGTCAGCGTCAGCCATGGCCTGTGCCAACAGGAGCTGCTTGGCTTCCAACTCACTGCAGATGCTCAGGTGGTCAAACAGGAAGCTCTGTGCCAGCTCTGGAGGCGGACTCATTTTCATGGCCTCAGATAGGGCAGGCTGTTGCTCTTCTGCCCAGTCGCGAGCCTCTCTCAGACGGGCCTCTACTTGGCCCATATCTTCCAGGGTCACCACTGAGTCCTGGATTTTCCTTTCAATTAGGTTCTGCATCTGAGACCATCGCTGTTCGAAGTGGCTGATCTGCTCTTTTACCAGCTCCTTGTCATCCAAGTTCAAATGTTGGATTACTTTTTGTTTCTGTTCCTTGAGGACTTCAAGAGTGCCCTTTTGTTCTTCCAGAGTTATTGCAAGTTTCCGTAATGCCTCCAAATGCTGAGATGAACTTTCAGCATCCGTTCTGTGACAAAAAAAATGTTAAAAGGAGAAAGTTTAAATTTAGCTACCAAGGTGATCTTAATGATGGCCTTCATTTCAGACTAATGTAATGGCAATCAAATGGTCTTACACAGAGGTTCTCTATTCATGTTCCTTGAAATTTGTAGAAAACATCTGAGCCATGGCAGATAAATTGATTATAAACAAAACTCAAACAAATGGCATTTACTTGCAACCTAAAACCAAATTTTATTGGCTTTGATCATGTCAGGAGATTACAATCAACACAACAGTATGTAATGGCTATTCTTAATGCATATGATATATGATAATGTTGATGTACAAACACACCTTGCCAGATTGTCCCACTCTTTGGACACTTGTTCAAACAGAGCCTCCACAGCGGTGATACAGTCATGGTATTCTTTAGACCTCTGCAGGTCCTCCTCTCTCTGGTTCTGCAGCTTGCTAGCCTGGTGACAGAGCTCAAGCCAGGAATGGCTCAGACGGTCAAGCTCTGCATGTTCTGGAGAGTCCTGGCCACCAGTCAATCTGCTCACAGTCTCTGTCATCTTGGTCAGGATACTCTGTTTAGACTGCAGTTGCTGGCTGCATTCCTGTGTGACAAGCAACATACTGGATGGTAAACCTAAATGCATCCAAACAGTAAGCAGGTCTCTCTAATCCCTACACAACCCAAGCCAAAATGTTGGATTAGATAATAATAACAAATCTCCAACAGAATCATGTTTAGACTAGTGCTTTATATGGTTCAGGAATAAAGCACATGTAGACATACAGTATCGCCTTTGTGTGTCAAGGGATCAATGGTTATGATACTTTCCCTTACCTTGGCTTGTGACAGCATATTTTGAGCTATCTTTGTCTCCAACTCTGCAGGCCGTCTGGAGAAGCTGAGGAGCTGCTGCTCCATATCCTGGAACAGGCTGGTCAGATCTTGCTTCTGTTCTTTGATCTCCCTCCAGCCCTCTGAAAGCTCCTGTGCACTGGACATCCTTTCCTCTATCTGCAGAAACACATTTACACATTCCTACAGTGAATATTTGCAGAATTGTATATTATGAAAGTCCACATTCTATACCACTCGTTTTATATTTTTACATTATGTTTATATATATTAATATGCACAGACGGAACATTTCCTGTTTTTTAAATTATTTGAGCCATTATTATGATACAGTAATTATCCTAGATTTGTAAAATGTGTCTTTTATGTTACACAGTGGACAAGCAGGTAACAAATTACTCACCGTGAGTTTGACCTGTTGGACCTGAGCAGCTGCCACTCTCACGGCATCATCAGACAGGTCACACACAGAACACACCAGGTCCAGGTAAGTGCTGGCCTGCTCCTGAAGGGCCCTGTAGTGCTTCACCTGTGTATGCACAAGCAATTGATCAAAAGAAGTTATAGAAGAATAATTTCATATAACATATTTTATTAATATAATAAATATAATAATAACTTAAATAACTTAATAATAACCATTATTGCATTCCAAGAGTAGACAATTTTAGTGTGTCAATTACCTGCTTCAGTGCTTCCTGCAGACCAGATGGTCCCTGATCGTTGAGCTGAAGCTCCTCCTGCACTGTGGTGAGCCAGGTTTGGCACTGCTGGAGAGTGTCCTGGTGGCTAACGTGTTTCTGCAGCTCCCGGTCCAGACTCTGGTACACCTGTTAAACAAAGTGAGGTAAGGTATATCATAAAATAAAGAGACAAGCTTTTCTGAAAATGATCAAAGGTTTCTTAGTTAGACAAAAAAAAATTGATTTTAGCCTTGTATGACTCACACGTTGGGCAGTGCTGCAAATGGCAGCATAGCTGTCTCTGGTTCCCTGTTGGTGAGCTTGGACTTGTTGACTGATCTTAGCTTGAACTTGGTCAGTACAGCTGGCAATGAGATCTTCTCCTTTCTGCTTCAAGCTGGTGAGACGCTCCTCAAAACTGGCTATCTCTTCCATTATTGCCTGAAAAATAACAGCCAGGTGTTTCAAAATACAGATTATTACAAAATTAATACTATACTATAATACTATAATAATGTAGTAATGTAAACGGCACATCTAATATTTTTTGATTTTTTGGGGGTAGGACAGTACTGGTCAAGGTCACCTTGTGTCTGGCAAGTTGCTGAGTGGCCATCTCCATACCGCTGGTCTGCATGGAGTCTGAGGTGACCAGTCTGCTGGACATCTGTAAGAGCCATTTCTCAGCTTCTTGCAATTCACTATTGTAAACCTCGTGCTCCTTCACCCACTCCACAAGGTTCTGGACCTGGGTCTGAAACATAACACAGAGCCAATCTCAGAGATGCATTAAGCTGAAAGACATGAAGTCATTCAAGAAAAGAAGAAATATGTACCGGGCATCAGTTTGTTTCTGTTTGTTTGTTTGTTTGTTAGCTAATACAATACAGTACAAAAACATGAACACTGAACAGAATCTATGGTTTTGAATTCAGATTTCTCATGTGAGTGTCCATACCTTAGCTGCTAAGCAGAGATCTTGGTAGTCAGCCTGCATCTTTTTCATGTTGTCACTCACAGTGGCGTCGTGGACTATTTCGAGCAGAGCTTCTCCTTTCTCATAGACCGATTTCACTGCTGACTCATGAGACTGCACTGTCTGCTGGATGGTCTGCACATATGAAAAGTGACCAAAATATTACAGACAAAAATATATTTTTTTCTTGCTCTATTTTCACTGAGAGAGAAAAAGATTAAGTAGTTGTACTAAGTTACCTTGTACTTTGCTAGCTGAGCCTTCTTCTGGTAGAGTTCAGCTTTAGGCTCTACACTGGATGCTAAAAGGTTTTTTGTCTCCATCACCCACTGGGCCTGGGCCTTGTATTTATCCATGAAGTCTTTAGAAAGTGAGATACATTTCTCGAGGGAGCTATGCTCAGTGCGCAGAGAGTCCATTAACTCCTGTAGTTGGAGGAGGCGGGTGTCTACCTCCTCCTTCAGCTGCTCTGCTTCGGGCTCCTCCAAGAATGTCATGGCTCGCTCCGTCTTCTCTCTCATTGTCTTGAGGTAAGTGTGACCCTGCTCCATGTCTCCCTGAAGAGCCTAAAAAGTACATGGGATGGTGTTATTACATTTTAAACAGATTTTTGTAATGTGGCTTTTTTTAATAGTGCAGTATTGCTGGCATTTCCACTAAACGTATATCTTGTAAAGCAAAGTTACCAATAGTTAGCAATAGTTTGATCAGGCTAGAGTAGTTATGTACAGTTATTTTGGAGGTTTAATGCTATAAATGATTTCTATGGAACAGACAATAATATACAGACGGTATGTGCTCTATGTTAGAGGGTGTACCTCTAGTTTTTTCATCTTTCTCTCCATAGCAAAGCGGTCCACTGCATCAACACTGATAGCCACAGTGCTGAAGTTATTCTGAGCTGTGCTGAGCCAGTCAGAAAAAGTGCTGAAGACACACTGTGCCTCTTCAATGCAAGACACCTCCTCCTGGAGCTGTTTGATTGTCTCCTGCAATATAAAGGAAAAGGAAAAAACAATGATATGGGAGAAGAATGTTTAGGATAGCTGAACCCAATTTTTCCAATTATCTGTCGAAATACAGCTTTACAGCAAAATATTTTAAACAGGTCTACTGGTGAAAGAGACCATTTTGAAGATCTCAAGCAACCAAGGAAAATCTGTATTCAAAAAGATGTTACCATTAAATGCAGCAGCAGGACGTGGTAGCGGGCTGTAATCTTGGTGGCTCTGTTACTGATCCGGCTGCTGATATGGGTCTCATCCAGAACCTGCTGAGCCAAGAGACTGAGGCCCTCCATCTCCTCTTGATAAACCAGCACTTCCTCCTGCCAGGTCTGATCATACAGGCACCATTAGAGATGTATGTACAATACTTGATTATATTCCAACATATTCATTAGACTGAATTTAGAATGCATCACAGCAACAGAAACAGCAATTAAAACATTATAATATACATAATGATTATATATATTATTAAATATATAATTATTTCCATGTGTATAGCTTTTGTGAATGTAACACTAACTTTTATCAGCTGTAGTTGAGCATCTTTGGTGGCACGGTCAGACCGCCGGTGGCTACGCAGTTGTGCTTTGGTCTCCATGCCCTTTAGCCAGCTGTCAAGACGCTGAAACTTCTGCTCCATCTGCCGGAGTTTGGCAAGAGCACTATTGAGCTGAGCCCGGGTGTCGGCCAGCCGGGCTTGGTACAACCTCCACTCTTGCTGCAGGGTCTCCAGGGCTCGGTCTTCGATCTGAGGCAGGCCCCAGGGAATAACCAGTTCTCGACTGACCAGCAGGGTGTTAAGCAAAGCTTGGCCCTCTGTGCAGTGCAATTGCAGTTCCTGTAGTTACACAGAAGTGGTTGAGAGCTCACTTTTAGATAATATTTTAACTGAACACATCTTCAAGCTATGTAGCAGTAGTAGTATTAGTTGTAAAAACATTTCATGTTCTGTATATTTCTATTAACATTTCCCCCTTGAGAATTTTCAGACCTGTAGCTTTTGCAGAGTCTCCTCCAGCATATCAACATCACCCTCCAGTTGGGTATAGCAGCCAAGCTTCTCTTGTTCTTGTTCCAGCCAGTCCTCAAATGCATGGAGGCCCCGCTGATACTCCTGGTGTGCTTTCACCAGCTCCTCTGCTTTGCCTACGGCCCTCTGAGGACACAATGATAAGGATTCAGAGTCGTAATGTGAGAGCTAATTGGTTCTAACTTTACCTTTGGCAACATCTTTGTTGATATTGCTTTTCAAAAAAATTACACTTTCTACATTCTACATCTACAAAAAATTTCTGTCAAAGAATAGCAATAAAACTTATAAAATGACAATGGATTATTATCATAAGAATTCATTAAATAAAATCTTCACTCTCAGTATTTTTAAACACATTAAATTTCTGTTGGAAATCACTTTTGTAACTCTTTTAAAATAGCTACACAAAAATGCACTGTATCTAATACTAACAATAAAATATATTTAAAAAAAGAAATGTACTGTGCACACTCTGCTTTTATTACCATGGCATTGTCTTTGATAGTGTTATAGCGCTCTTGCAGATCTTGGAGCTCTAGCTGAGTGACAAAGTTCTCGGCGATACTGCCACTCTTTGCAGTGATGGTGTCCAGCAGCGTGTTGTGGCTGAGCACTTCCTCATACAGCAACTGAAACAACACAGAGGGGCTATTACTCTATCAATCTATTATCCATTTTTCAAGTGTACACCTGTTAAATGGCTCATGAGACTTTAAAAACGTACACTTCTCACAACTTGAAATTTCAAAGCATTTTGTATTTTGTACTAACGTTCATGTAACCTTACAATAACCCTAAATCATTATACGTCTTAATAATGTATGTATAGTATGACTGAAAATATTGCAGTACCTTGGCTTTGCTCAGATTAGCAGTTTTGTCTCTCATCTCTGAGCACTGTTTATCAGTGGGATCAAGACTCTCCTCCACACGATCCACCCATGCCACAAACTGACGTACATCCTCCTGGTAACTGGTCCACTGAGACAGGGAACCCTCCAGCTGACTGTCGATTTTAAAGAGAGCAACAAAGTCAGACAATGGTGCAATAGTTGTAGTAATAGCAGCAATGCAAGAAATGGCAAAAATAGTAGCAGACACTGTGAATACTTTCCACTTTTTATAGATCTTTGGTGGGCACTGCTCTCACGAAACAAAAGGCGGTTTGACACACATGCTTAAGCGTTGTTACTTGTGGTGGAGAACTAACCTTTTGCATTGGATTGAGGCAGAGAGCAGGGCGTCCCAGGAATCTTTTAGGTCCTGTATTTGTTTTTGGACCACAGGCACTCCCTCAGCTGAGGTGTTTCTCTGAACTGACTCTCCTCTTGTGATCAGCATCTTCAGCTGGATCTCCTTTTCCTGACGAGCAGTCAGCAAGGCCTGGTGCAACAAACACATGTGAATTTATTATACACCTATAATGGGTATTCAAAGTTGTAACTAATTCTGAAAACTAACTAACTTTTTATACCTCGAGCTTAATCATCCTGCTATCAAGAACATTTTTGTCAGCAGTGGGGGCGCAGTAAGTCTGCAGCATATGGCTGGTGTCAGCCACCCAGTTCTGCAGTTCCTTCAACCCTTGGGAGAAAAGCTGGTGCTCAGTGACTATTCGGTCAATCCGTGATGCCTTCTCCTGCAGAACCACCCAACGGGACACAACCACAATATTACAAACTACAGGTTTTAGAAATGTGATCCACAGTAGGCTCAAATTGTTAATAGCATATGCAGATTCATTGATGACTAATAAAAGATTTAGTACAAAAGACATAAAGAAAATAAACTTGTATATCTGATGTGTAAGACTTACAGTAACAAAATAAATAAATTAGTGTTTAAACATGGTGAGTTAGTACCTTCACTCTGTCAAGGTAAATGTAAAATACATTAAGACAGAGCTCGATCCAGTCTAGTGCCTCTGTCTCCTCTCCAGCTCTACCCCCAGAAAAGCCCCAATGCACAGGCAGATTGGTAGGCATTACTGTACCTTGGTCAGGTTGGTTAAAGCTAGGTACTGAGCAGAGAGCTGCGAGACACGGTGCACAAAACCCTTGCCGGCCGCTTGTTCATCCCACAGCAGCTGGGCCTTCTCTTTCAGCCTTTTCAGCTGAATCTCGTGAGAGGCTAACTCCTCAAGCACAGACTGGAAGAGCACAAGCAGGTTATCAAAGAGGCATGCAAGCTGACACACAGATATAAGACAGTTACATTCAGACACAGACTGATGGGTTAGAGATGGCAACATGGCAAAAAGAAAAGCGAATGAGACATTTGGTCAATGTAAAGCTCTTAGTGGTCATGGCGTGCAATCAAGGCCTCCGAAATAGCTGGTAGACAGTTTTAAACAATTAAAACGAAAATACTCTTTTTAATGAGGCAAGTATTAATCTATAGGATAGACATGTGAGAGTTGCAAAGAGGAGCAGAAAGATGGCAGTAATGCAAAAAGGAAGCAACTGGCAGTTAGCATAAGCTGTGCTTCCTAGAACAATAACAGCAATGCTAAAACACTGTAACATAGCTGGAATGGTGAGTTTCTGCAAATGACAGGAATAGTCAAGTTGGCACTCAAGCACTGAGTGGTGGTTGCACTTGAACATGAGTGGTCTTGAACATGACGGGTGTTCCGAACTCAGTGGACATTAGTACCTGCAGCTTGTGAAGCTCTTGCTTCTTGGCTGTGAGATCATGAAGCCTTGTGCTGCTCTCCTGTACAGCCAGCTCTGTGGCATTCAGGCACTCCTGGAGAGGCTCAGCACTTGCCTCGAAATCTTTCATCTGGGATAAAAGATTCTGAAACACACCAGATGAAAGAAACTGTTGAGATGTTTCTTTGACTTAAAATACAAAATATATTGTACACTTTTTTTATAATGGCCCCAATTTGTGAGAAGGGGCGTTTAGGTGCTTACTTGTAGACTTGTCTCTCTGTTGTGCAGGCTGGACATCATATTTTTCCAGTCCTCTCTGGCAGTGTTCATTTTAACCCGAACTGCATCAACTTTGTCTTTTGCTGCAACATTAGATACCAGCTCACCATTCACAACCACAGCATTCAGCTTTGACTGACCTAGCTCTCTGTCACTTAGAAACTCCTGTGGAGAGAAGAAGATATTAGATGATGAACTCAAGAATGTGGTGAAACTCTTCAGGACACACACATCAAGGTTTTTAGTTTGGCAGGGTGACAACGCTCATGTGATGCTCTGGAACAAATCGCATTTGACACAGACTGTTCCTGAGCTCACAACCCCCCTAGCAGAGCCTGACATACGCAACATTTATTAAACATGAGCGGATGTTAAAAACATTCAAAATTCATGTACTAAATGCTAGTACAGTAGGAGACTGGGGCAGCACTGTAGCAGTGAGGATACAGAGCTCAGCTCTGTCATATTGAGACTAAATGAGTACCTAATGTTTATATGGACCGCCTGTTGAGACAGATAGGTCATGGACATACCTGACTGGAGGGTGTATGGAACATATGACTATAAATTACCCTTGTGTCCGCCTGAACTATTGCGAGGCTCCATTTTGTAAGTAATTAGTTAAGGTTATCTTCTGTACTGAAAACACACGACTTTATGCAAATTAGAATTGCACTGTGCTGGTTTCCTAAGTGGTAATCAAACCTGTAATTCTGGCAGCTGTACCTGAATCTTTTGCAAGCTCGATGAGGCCTCATTGAGATTTTGAGGTACGTCGAAGCACTTGGCCGTGTTGATCTTGGCATTCACCAACCACTGCTGGAACTCTCGGAAGGCTGAGCGAAATCCTTGTGCCAGCAGTTTATCTTTGCTTTGGCACTCCCTGGACGCTTGCAGACTAAGACTAGATGTCAGGAAGAAAGAAAACTATTTTTACACTACATGCAACATGTATCATTGTTAATCAATTAAGAGATCTATATTTTTTTTAATTTAAAGGCATTTAAGCTTGTGTGACCAAGAAAATCGAAATACATTTACTTTGCAACACAATGCAAAAATCCTATAATGTGACAGAGAGGTGTTGATTCAGTTATAAGGCAACTTGTAATTTTATGTAGTTTGTGGTACGTGTTCTAATATGTATGCCCCTCTTTATATGTATATGGGGTGGACAAAAAACACATTTATTGCAGTCCAACATCAACAAAACTTACAGCCTCCAATGTTCTATAGAAACATGTCAGGAACAACAGGACAAAATTATTAGTCTCAAAAGAACAGGTAGTATATATTGCATTGTGTTACTATTTTACTCCTGGATCCCATGTAATTCAGTAAAGCCTAAAACACCTGCAGTGGTAAATGCAAAATGTATTATAAGACCATTGTGCATCATATTTACAACTTTCTCACCTGTTGTATTCTTTAATAAGAGCAGAAACTCTCTCAGATTGTGTGCCCATGTCTCTGGAGAATCGGCACAGATCATTGAGTTGAGTCTTCAGACTGTCAGACATGGGCTCAGCTTTTAAAAGTTCCTCCAAAGTGTCCTGTGTGGAATATGCAATATCATATGCATTAGTCCTCTACTGCTATGATTGCTTATTTCCAATTTATGGTGGTCTATTACTGTAACTAACCTAAGCTGAGACCTACCTTTGCTATCTGCCAGCCTTTTACAGCCTCCTCTCCATCGTTTTTTCCCTCTGCTTGAGACAACCGCAGACGCCAGTCGTGTAGTTGCCGGTTGAAGTCCCGCAGGTCCTGCTCCAGCTGAGTTGACCGGCTGCTGAACTCTTGTTCAGAGCTGGCTATCTGTGAGAGGGCTGTTTCTAGACTAGCCCGTGTCTGCAGTGCTCCACGTTCCCACTGTTCCCATGAGGATAAGAGGGCTGCTTCCTCTCGCTCCATAGCCTCATAGCCAGCTGAGCCAGTGTGATCTCTTGCCACTGCCCCACATCTCTGGACCCGGTTCAGCCTCTCTCTACCTCGCTGCTTAGAGTCAAGCAACTCCTGTAAAAGGGCAAAAGTAATCAAAATACTACAACACAAGTTAGTAACTACCAAGTAGGATTGCTCATGAAGCCCAAAAGTGACAAATGCTGTCTTTAAAACATGTGTTTTGTTTGATTCCTTTTTTTAAACCTAGCCCCTTGCCACAAAAAAACTCTGACTGACAGTCACTTCTGCAAAGGAAATGAGTACAGTCAGATGATAGTCAGTGAGTGATACCCGTCTTAAGTTAACACGTCCTAAAAGAAACCCTTTTTGGCATGTCTGTACTGTGTGTACAGGAGTTCAAGTCTTAATCATAGTAAGGGGAATCATAAGAAGAAGATATATTTTATTGATCCCCTAGGGGTAAATTGTTTTTTTCGCTCTTTTTTTATTCACACACACACAGGCTGAAATGCACACTTCAAGCACATGTGGACATGCAAAGGGGAGAGATGTTGAAGTGATGGGGCTGCTGCGTTACCAGCGCCCCATGAGCAGGTTTCGGGGTTAGGTTGCCTTGTTCAAGGGCACCTCGGCAGTGCACAGGAGGTGAAGCTGGCACCTCTCCAGCTACCAGTCCACACTCCATATTTTGTGGTCTGTGGGACTTGAACCGGCGGTTCCCAAGCCAAGTCCCTACACACTGAGCTACTGCCGCCCCAATACATATATTATGATCATGAGCCTTCATCTGTGACCCTGTGGGGGGCTAGGGTTTTGGAGGATATTCTGTAGATCTCTCAGCAGGATGTGACCAGAAGCTATACACAGATTTGTTTATAAAATATGACATTTTAAGTTCCTTACCTGCACCTTGGAGAGCTTTCTTTTAATAGAGACTGAGTCTCCTGAGAGGTCTGACCAGCGCTGAAGTTCCTCTTTTGCTGAAATCAGCCAATCATTGAAGTCTCTAAGAGCATCGAGATACTGCTCATGCTCAGACACGATATTTTGCATGGACTGCACTTTACCCTATATGGAAGAAAAAGTCAATGTAAACACAAGCTACCAGATATCAATGACGCACTGCATAAACAGGAATGTGTCAAATAGTAATTGCAAATATTTTATTGTATGTGTAGCCTAATTCTGTGCCAAGTCAATTTAATATAAATCATCAATTTTGGCAACAATGTGGCCACTTGGACCACCTTAGAAAAAGTGTGTCCCATGACACTAGGTGTCTGCCCTGTCTAAGTGTTCTTGGATCCCATACACAGTTTCTTTGTGGCTGGCCAGGTCTCTTGAATTAATCATTTAGGATTCATTAATTATTCCCAAGTATTATTTAACCTATGCCAGTATTTAGATCACCTTGACGACAGCTGAGATATCAGCAAAGTGAGCATTCAGCTCCGCCCTTGACTCTGGTCCAAAGGTCTGGTCGCCAGTTTTTTCGTGCATCTCCACTGCTTTGTCTGTTAGGCGTGACAGTGCTGCTGCATGAGCGTCCACATCAGCCTGGATGGCCCTGAGGCGCTCAAGCAAAGCGGACTTCTCTTTGAGGCCTGGCTGCTGAGGCAGAGTCATCCCCAACTCCTGCTCCACTGACTCCATCCACTGCTGCAGTTGGCTTTTACTTTCCTGAAAGCTGGTCCACTGGGCCACTGTCCACTCCAGACGACTATGGACAATAACAATATTTTATGAGAAGTGAATAAGTACATTTGCCCTTGATTATGAATTATGACGTCAGTGGGTGTTATCAGCCTTCTGCCTGACTGTTCCCCCAGGGTGCATAAGATAACACATTTCCTACCTGTGGCAACTCATGGAAGTCATCAACATATTAGCCCAGGCATCCTTCAGGCTCTGTAGCTGTGAACAAATGACCTCTTGCCCCTCCATTCTGTTGTGCTTCAGGACCTGTTCTCCTTTTCCCACAGTCATGTTGAGCTTCACCTCACCTTCACCCTTCATTAGCAGGATATCCTGCAGGTTTAAAATATCAGCAAGAAAGAACTATGGGTAAACTATAAGATCATGTATGTGTTTCAAAATGTGTCCAGAAAACACTGAAATCCAAAAAACGATATTTTTGGATCATGGAATTATTCACTTACCTGTACAAGACCTAGTCTTTTCTCCAGAGTCTCTTTATTGCCAACTGTGCTGTTGAGTGATGCCAGGCGCTCCTGGACTCCGTTAAGCCAGGTCCAGGTAGTCTGCAGTGTCTCTTCAAAGGCCTGTTGCTCTTGCAAAGTGAGCTGGCAGCTGCGCAGCCTCTCTCTCACACGCCTCAGCAAGGCCTGGTGCTGTGACTGCAGCTGAGCTGATACTCTTGTCTCACTACCATCGCCTCGCCCACCTTCATTCAGTGCCTGGCCCTCCTGACATAAGCGTTCAAATGAATCCCTGCATGGAAGGAAGTAAAGTATTTAAATAAGCTACAAAGAGTACTTTGATGTTTGATTGGGGACAATTATTAGGGATCCTTTTGAGGACATTTGGAGACAATGAAAAAATGAAACACTGTCTGTGTCTAATGTCTATACATTATATTATATTTTATAGTATTATACAAATACACAGACTTGAAGCAGACCTTTCTTTGAGCACTTCCTGCTGATATTCCTCAGCTTGCTCAAGCACAGCCTTTTCAGGACCACGTTGCTTGGCTTCAAGTAGATCTGTGGTCATCCTCTTTTCCATGTGCTCCAACCACCACCTCAGCTTCTTAAGGCGACCCTCAAACCTACAAGGAATTTAAAATGCAATGTTTATACATGGTTGGCTTACAAAGTGCTTTACAGAACTGGTTTGTATGAGTCTCTTACCCCTTCATTAGAGATGCGCTGTCTTCCAGGATCTGTTGGTTTTGTCTGCACTGTTCTACAAAACTGTCCCAGTCCTGCTGGATGGAGGACAAGTGCTGTTGGACTTGCCCAGCGCTGGCTTTGGGAAGATGGAGTAGGAGCTTCTCTCCTTCCTCACAGACCTGAGTAAGTCGTACCTCACCCTCCTCCACACGATCCATGGCGCCCTGACAGACAAAACACATCACTTTTAGTTTTGCATTTGTAACTCCTGGCTCAGATGAGGTTTCTGAATCGGTGATTTTGGTTTGTAGATAACATTTTAAATTCTACTCTCATCCCCATCAAAGACTATGATTTAGTAAATTCAGCTTTTCAGTTGAGTATCAGTTTTACCTTTAGTTTCTGTAGTTTTCGCTCCACAATTTGAGTGTCTCCGGATCGGTCCGAGCATTCTTTCACTATCTCCCTCTGTTCTGAAAGCCAACGATGGAACTCCTGAACTAAATCTGAAGAGGGAAAAGACAATTAATATCTGGTGTAGATTCAAACAGAATCAAGTTTAAATGAGTACAACTTTTCCTTACTAGGCAGAATTATTTTTTTACACTCAGTGATCACTACATGAGGAAAGGTTTCTCATTAAAAAGCAAGAAAATTAATAGAAGGTTACAAAAAGAATTTTGTTTTTATTTCTCACCATTAAATTGCTGCTGAAGACAGTTCTGCAGTGACACCAGCGTCCTGGCAGAGAGCTGGTTCACAGATTCATAAGTCTTGATGAGGTCGGTGAGAGTTGATCCCAAACCAGCCAGCTCCTCAGAGGGGTATTTTCTACACAGGGTGTTGAGGCTCTCCCTGGTGGAGTCAATACTCCCCTGCTGATTTTGCAGCTCCTTCTGGAGGTCCTTCAAAACATGTTCAACAATACAGATTAGTTGATTTGGTTTGTTATATTCTCAACTCTGTCTTCTATAAGAAAAGAAGGGTTGCCTTTCTGTAACACCAACAACTCATAAACAAGTGACGGTATCCAAAACACTTTTTCTCAAGTTTATAAAGACACAATGCATAAATACTGACTCAAGCTTCCTCATCACACCGTTGCAACTATGTCATTGTTATTTAGGCTGCACCTTCACTTTGCAGATGTCCTCAGGATCCGATCCAGTAGGAGAAGAAACAAGGGAATCCTCCATACTTTTCAGCCATGCAGACATCTGTGAGATGTAGTCTTCCAGCTGTTTCCTTTGGAAACTGAAGTCCATGAGGTTTCCCCTGGCCTGCTCATGTAGCTTCTGAACAGTGCTGATCTTTTTACGAAGGTCATTCTCCAGCACCTGATGCAAGTAGAACAAATGGTAATTTACAGTATTTAGAAAAACAAAAAACATACAACTATAATCATCTTTCGTACCTGTAATTTAGCAGGGGTTTCTTGACTTTGGCTGAACCTCTTCAGCTCTGATACTTTGCTCTGCAGGGTTTCAAGTTTCTGCTCCTTCTCACCCATTTCCTCCTGTGGGTGTATCAAATGAGAAAAGCATGTAGTACACCCCTTTTCAGTTGCTTGATTTTGTTTTGAGATACTATACCCAGTGGCTGTGGCTGCACAATGTATGTCTTTAAGATTGTTTGTCATTTAAAGCATATCATGTTAGAGTTATGTCAGGCGGTTTGATGGCACTGGCTGCATCTTTAGTAGTAGGTGAAACAAATGATTACCCAGTTTTACTATGATCGTATATATCTTACCTGTAACATGGAGAGCCTTCCCGACACTTTCTGACTGTCATTGAAGTTGCCCAGGCTCTCATTTAGTTCAATCACACAGCTGCTTGTCCAGCTCTCAATGTCCTCGTTGATTTTACGCACATCTTCCCACAGTGCCAAACTCTGGTTCAGACGATCAATGTTATCATCTATCTTCTCAGACACCTGAGAAGTGGATTTAGTCAGTCACAAATCTTTACACTCTGTTGTGTGTCTGGCACTGATACAACATAATACAGATCACAAAGCTATACATGACAATTATGTTTTGTTTAAAAAATGTTTTTCTAGAACAGTTCATGTATATAAATTGTAGTTAGCAATTAATTTTAACTTTAGTCAGACTTACATCCAGCCACTGATCAACAAGTGTCTCCATATCTTTTTTCATCATTTGAGCATCACAATCAGGGATCTTCTTCAGTTCAATCACCAGTTGTTTTCCTTTACTGGAAAACTGGTCCAGTTCATGTTGCTTGCTAGCCATCTCTACCTTCATTGCTTCATGCTACAAATGGAGTAAAGACAGCAAACCTTTAAAACATTCTGATGAAATCATAAATGTAAAACCCAGAACTGAGATACATTTTTTTTATGGCTTGGTGTAATGATCAGTTTAATTGCAAGAAAGTGAGCTAAGGCACATCACACATAAGATAACATAATAGTTTGACCTCACCTTGGTTAGCGACCTCCTGGTTTCCTCATGGTCCTTCAAAACAGAGGTTATCTCAACCAGAGGTTCGGTGCTCTCAGTAACACTGCTGATGATGGTTTTCAGGATTTGGTATTCTCTCATAAGCTCAACAAGGACATTGCACTGCTCCTGTCTGCCAATGAAAGTGAAAAGTGTAGTATCCATACAAGATTATATGTTGTGAAATTAACTGTAAACATAACATAAAAATAAACATGCAATAAACTCCATAACAGAGAAAATGAATGTCAAAAGGGAAACCATGGCAACAAGCTCTTGTTGGAGTGTTTCCATTTCAGAACTACACAATTTTACCATGTGGTTACAAGTGCAACAAACTCGAAACAATCAACCCAGAGAGGTCAGTGTAACAATGTTTTTCCGCCAAAAGAGACTGTTTCATAATCCTTTAATTAGTGTACATGAAAACAAAGTACTACAAAAGAGAGCTCAAATCTTTAATAGCTGGTTTTTATCTGCAACAATGGCAAAAAAAAGAAAGAAAGAAAAGAAAATGCCTAGCTATTGATTCTTTCTAACAGTTTTTTGGAGTGTTCCATTTCAATATTGATTAGTAGCTATTGTTTTCAGTATTGTTTTTAGCTTTTACCAAGCATCTTTTGACAATGCAAAATTTGCTGACTCAGTCGGATGAAAAACCCTCTCCCAGCCCTTCAGTACCTCTCTGTGATGAGCCTCTTGGTGTCCTCCCATGTGGTCTCCAGCAGACTGATTTCCCTCAGTACCTCCCCAGCTAACTCTGCATCTCTCTGGGCCAGCTGGTTCCCCTTGTCCCTCAGCCACTGCTCCTCATGCTGGTGTGACTGTAGCTCATCCTCCATCTGATTAAAGAACCTTAGCCTGGCAGACAGAGAGGTAATATGTTACTGTTGCACATGCTCTCATACATGGTACTAGCACTTAATGGTAATAGGCTCACTAACCTAACATTTGAATTATAGCATTGACATAATAGGGATATTGATCTGATTACACTCTTGTAATGTTCTACCTCTGTTGTAGCGCATGCAGGCTGGGCTCTTTGAAGCTCTGGTGGTCGGCTTTTTCTTCAATGTCCTCCACAGCTTTGAGCAGCTGTTCTTTCCGTTGTCTAAATGAGGTCCATAGAGCACCCAGGGCCTCTGCTTCACTCTGCTTAGTACCAAGCAAGTTCCTTACTGCATCCAACTCAGCACTGAGTGAATCAGCCAGCATGCGGCAGGATTTACGAGAACCCTCATCAGCACCAATGTGGAGATGGCTTTTGCAGAGACTGCTGTCCAGATTGATGGCTAGAGTCTCGAGCTGACTGATGTCTGGGACAATAGTGGCCAGCTCCTGCTGCAGCTCCTCTACTTTTCCACGGTCCCAGCTCCCAGCACTCTCTACAGTTTGCTTAAGGCCCCGCAACACCCCTGCAGCCACACTGTGTGTCTGCAGAAAAGACTCAAGCCTTTCAAGGCACTCTAACTGGAGCTCAGCTATGTGCTGAGCCTCCAGGTAAGGCTGCAGACAGCTGTCTGCTCTGCTGCGGAAGAGCTGTGCATCACTAGGCTCACAGAACTGACAGAGTTTCTCAGTCTGCTGCTCCAAGCTCTGTCTCACACTGGACTGCTTCTGTAAGGCCACCTGCGTCTCCTGTCAAAGGAATTGGTAGAGGATCAGTTGTTGCTCTGAAGCACGATACTATTTCAAACTGGCAACGTGGCTTTGCAAGGAGAAGCATCCTGCATACACAAGCGGACGCACGATTCTGTGTGGTTCTTACCTTTACTTGTATAGTGGCAGACTGCAGGTTGCTTATGTTGATTTGAGAAGCTGAGTGCAGACTTGAGAGCATGGTCTCACTCCACTGGGAGAATTTGAGCAAGGCCTGGTCAAATTGCTCCACCAGCGAGAGGTGGCTCTGAAGTTCTTTGATTCTAGGGGACAAAAGAATATAAGAAACTGGTGACTGATGTTGGGGAAATTCTTCCATAATCTGGAGAGTGTGGTCTCTGGGAATATTACGAACCAGTGTGATGAATCAAAGGTTCCGGTCCACATGCAGCATGGAGGGAAAACCACAGCATAGACGTTCCCCCTAGATTTCTAGAATGCTCTCCCTTATATTCATCTCAGTACATCGTAAAACAGTGACCACCCCTGTCTGTCCTGTTTATTTTACTAATGTCAAGTCCAGGTCTCTCCATGGTCTTGTCTACTTTGACCTACTGTTGACCCCAACTGCTGATTAGGACATTCCATGCCATAAAACACAACCCCTTAACTCAGGTCCATGTATCTACTACCCTTCCTAACACAGTTATCTCCCACACTGACAATACAGAACTTGCGTCATCGGACATGTCATCAGACACAGCATGAGTATGTGGTGTTATTTCGTGTTAGATTATCTTACCTTTGAGGGATGACTTCATTTTGAACATTCAATCTTCTCTGCAGGGTCTCCAGCTCCTCTTTCAGCTGCCTCACCCTCTCTTCTGGTGCAGTCGGACACAAGGACGTCCCCAAAGATGCTAGTTCAGCATGAGCAGGCTCGAGGGACTGGACCTCAGAATGTAAGGCCTGCCAGGAAAACAAACGTGTCTTGCAAACTCAAAATATGTTCTCTGTTACAGTTAGCGTTGTATAAATGTGTGTGTATGTGTGCACACGCTATTTATTTATTCATCATGTTGTGGGGGCAAAAGTCTGTTCACAATGTTGCATATGGGGAAAGAAATCCGATACCAAGCAAGGACCACTCCTTTTAACCATTTATTTATTTGTTTATTTGCCAATTATTTTAGGGGTAACACTTTTTTTGGATGTATTTTGAAGAACTACCTGAGTATGTATTGTACCTGCAAATCTTGTATCTCTGTGCGGAGCTTGGCTTTATCAGCTGATAGACACTGACTCTCCGGTTTGGAAACAGATTCACTCCTCTCCAAGCAGGAAACAAAGTTTGAACGCTGTTTCTCATACCTGCCACACATCAATAGAAACACTGGTATCTCAAAGAGTAAAAATTCAACATCAACATTTCTTGTTGCTTATTGTATCTATCTGTCCAGGATAAGCCAGTATTAACATTGCTTTTATCATTCAATTTAATGCTCTGTTCAATAGCTCTTACTTTTGCCAAAGAGAAAGCAGGTTTTCCAGAGAGCTCTGTTTGTCCTTTGCCTCCTGAATGCTTTGGTCATAGCTGGAGTTTAGCTCTGTCACAGTCCTCTCTGCTTGCTCTTTGTCACTGAGTCTTCGGGCACCAGCTGACAGAGAGAGCAAGGTTCCCTTCAGCTTTTCCAGATGCTGACAGACATCCTGGGAAACAAAAACATAAGACAGTGACCCACACAGCATCACCTGTGAGCTGGAAGACAACCACAGAAAAAAAAAGTATATATATAGAGTATTGTATATGATTTTTTAAAAGACAAAAGTAAAAACAAGTGAACTCACCATGTGGTTTTGAAGAGCTTTGTAGGTCTCTGATGAGGAGGTGCAGGATTTAATAGGATGCTTCAGTTTTGTGTGTAGCTCACTCACAGATGCTTGCACCTAGGAGAGAATAAACATTAAAACTAACTTATGCCCATATATTCTCTAAATGCTACTCTGTATACTGTCATGATATATTTTAAGTGTCAAGAAGAATATTCACCTCCTCAAGGCTAATTTTGAACTTCTGCTGTTGAGAGGAGCTTTCCTCCAGCTGTCCATCAAACTGCTGTACGCTCTCCTTCAGCTCCTCCCAGTACCTGCCGATTTGGGTCAGACGGGCCTTGATGCGAGCTGCCTCCCCTGAAGATACAAACTGGGCTAGTGCCTGGGACTCTGCCTCGAGCTGAGAAGGAACCTCAGCTTGCTCTCGAAGCTCTGCACCAACAACCTGGATGCAAAACAATACAAAAAAAAGTAAGACTGAGATAATAATTCTTTTGTTGGGCATTGGGAAGCAGTTATCAGTGTGGTTAAATTAACAGTACTTAGGCTGGTTACTATAAAGCTACAAAACAGTTGTAAAAAGAAAATATATAAAAAAGATATTCTTGGAGTAAGTTTCACAGAATAGAAAATATAATCATCATGACTTGCAAAAATTCTTGAGAGCTTTCTTGCAGAGTTACACCTCATCCTAAAAGCAAAACTCACACATTGTAACAGCTTGAGGTTGTCAGCACTTAAACTGCTAAGTCAAAACAAACCACAGACTTCATGAACAGTTACATCTCTCCATTTGTGATAAAGATAGAGCTAATGTGAAACAGGGACAGTGTGATAAGAGGGCCTGTGTTGTTGCTTTCTCACATCAGTGGCTCTTTAAGACAACCTTATTGATTGGTTAAGATAATTGTTTGACATGGTGTGAGAGGGTTGTAGCTTTATAATACACGCTACTGTACCTTTACTGTGTTGATCTGTTGCTCAAGAGGCAAAGTAGAGGACTTCAGCACTTCCAACTGCTTTTCTTTGTCCGATATCCACAAAGAAAAGCTTTCAAACTCAGCTCCAAATTGATCCCACTGAGTTTTCATTTCTTCCAGAGTTTTGACACTGAAAGAGAAATTAAATTATAAATTGGCTGAGAAATACTTAATGAAGTCAAATAAACCTGGACAATAATGTAAGATTCATCACATTAGGCTAAAACCAAAATGTATTTGAAAACATCTTGTATCTTAAGTCTACTAAAACATTATTTAGCAAAAGCAACAAGAATGAAATCCATAATCTTACTCTTTTTTGAGCCCAGCCTCTACTTTGTCCACTTGCTCACTGAGGGAACGAGCTTGTTGTAAAAGCAGCGTCTTGTTCTTCGGACTAAGCTGGATTTCTGTCGCTCTCTTCAGCAAAGTGTTCATATGTGAGGCCTCTGCTTCACACTGCTTTAACAACACCTGTTTAACAAACAAAGAACATTGGTAATATGCTCCATTTAGCTAAAATACTTCCAGTTGGAGTAAAACACAGTATATGTCCACAAAACCCAAAGACAAACTTTACTTACTCTGGCCTGGTCAAGTTCAACAGACAGGCTCTCTGGGCTGCTGAAGTTCAGGTCTCTCTCCATTGTTGAGCGCGCTTTATTAACAAACTCATGCACTGCCTCCTGCTGGCTGTCAAACTCCTGCCAGGCTGCTAGTGTGACCTGGGGATGACAATGCCTCAAAATCATTAATATTAGGGCTACACAATTAATCTAAATATTATCAAAATCGCAATATGGCCAAGTGCAAAACGCAAATCATAACAGCTATAATGTATAAGGTAAAATATGTGACAAAACAAACAAAAAATGTTTGTTGGGACAAACCCCATAAAAATGTCATCATCATGATTTAAATTATTCTTTTTTTTTTCGTGAAAATTCTACTCAGTCATTCCCACATAATGATGAATCGCAATATCTCTCAAAATAATTGCAATATTATGTTTTTACCATATTGTGCAGCCCTAATTAATATCTAATCAACTATATATAGCACTTAATCTATAAAAGACAACATAGACGATCCAAAAGGGGGTAGAAGAGTCTAATAATATTCTATATTTGTTACTGTTGGACCTTGGACCGTACTAATACTGGACCAGTCTTCACTTGAATGTAATAGAAAAGTTACAGCAAGAAAATAAATACTTCATAAATAAATACTGCAAAAATCCTAGATCAAGATCACCACCAAAAGTAGACACTGACACATGATACATGTACAGTCAATCCAGCTTGAAACACATCATTAAGTATGCAAATGACACCATCATGTTTGCCTCTTTCGGGTATAGGTGATGAGTCAGCATACTGACAGTTAGTATTCTCCAAGCACCTCGCCCCAGTAGTACTGCAGCAATGGCTCTGCTGCAGAGTCAGACGCATCAGGTTTACTGGTGTGCATCCTTACTGAGAATCTGTTACTTGGATACATAATGTATCCTGCCTAACACAGCAAAGCCTAACAAAGTTTCCATTTCAAGACACCCACCTCCATCCTGTCTACCATTCTTTAAAAGCACCATCTAAAGTGTGATGACTGACTCACTGCATCACTATCTTCTAAAGGAACTGTAAAGTCTCAGTGGGCAAGTTCTACCAGCAGAAAACATCAATTAGACCTCTCTACCTTCCGTTCAGGACAACCTTCCACAAATGAGGCATCTCCAAAGCCTCCTGCATTAACAGGAGTCCTCCCTTGCATGACCAAGCTCTTTTCTGTCTACAAGACGTTTGAATGACTTTACTTGACTTTATTCATCTATTTATAAAGGGACAACACACACTAATTAACATCGTCAGGATTTAGGGGCTGATAGTGATTGAGATAACCTTTAAAATTTAGGAAATATAAACAACAATCGTTCAGTCAATATCAAAGCTCTGTTAATCAGTTTCCAGGGGAAAAGCCTTTCTGTTCATAAAGTCACATTTAGCTAATATCTTGCAAAGAAAGACTGTAGCAGACTGTATAATTCAGAGCAACAATGCTGATTTAATCCACTGTGATGTTACTAACAGTGTCCCAAAAGTCTGCTCAATCACTGCCATAGCTCACCTCAAGGCTTTGCTCCTGTGAATCCATATTCTGCTCCATTTTGCTGAGTGTGTTTTCTAAACTCTGCAGGTCCTGCTGCAGCGTTTCTCCCAAACCTTCCTCGGCCTGGAGCTGCTGGCCTCTGGTGATCAGCTGTTGGACATCCTTTCTCTTCAGCTTTAGGCGTTTTGACAGTTGCTATGGGAAATGGGATGCATTCAATATATTAATCTACTGAAAGTAGAGTACACTATAAGAAAACCCTGCTTTTAAAACAATCAAAATGAAAAAGTCAGACATTCTTTCACAATAATATGAAGATGAGTGTCCTACCTGGTGAATGAGAAGGAACTGTTGGGCTTCTCTAACAGTTGGACAGTCCAGTATTTTGGTGACCTCAGCCTGAGCCTCTTTCTGTCCCTGTACAAGATCATCCAAAGTGGTTTGTACCTCTTCCCTGAACTGAACACAGTCCCCCACAGCCAGCACCATCTTCTCAGCCTGGAAGATATAACAGAGGAGAAAAATACAGTATGAGCACAAACATGATACATTGATTCTGTGTGTCGAGGTTACAATCAAACATATATTACCTACATATAAAAATGCTATGATGATGCCCTAATAATGCACAGATTTACTACATTTGAGTATAGATTATCGCAACATTTTTGTATCTGCATGTTCCTTAAATAAGGATAAAATAAGGACTATACTGTAGACATCACATCCCTTATGGGAATAAGGGATGTGATGTCTAGATTGTGTCTGGCACCTTAATAAAACAAGTAAAAGCTTCACCTACCTCTACAAGAGAAGCAAGGAGACCCTTGAAATCAGTAGAGAGCTTGCTCAGTGCACTTCCTTGCCTCTGGGCATCGCTGTCAGCACAGATTTCAATAAGTACGGCCATACGGGCTTTCAGCCAGCCAAGATTCCCCTCCTGTAGCTCTGCATCATTCCTCAGCTCCTGCAAACAACAAAAGAGTGTGATACAGTCCATGCGGTTAAATGTCTCCCATGATGCAATGTACTTTTGAAGTCTTATCTTCTTAGCAGTGACATTGACAAGTCAGTAACACATCACAAGTGAGGAGGGGACTAGCAGTGAATATTTGGGCTGTGGTGTATGGACTAACTCACCGTGATGGTAGTCTTCACCTGACCATATTTTCTGGGGTCATTTGCTCGGTTTCTCAGCAGCCTCAGTTGGCTTTCTTTAGATATAAGCCAGCAGGAGAGTTCAGCGTATCTGTTTCACACAATAAAGGGAAACTTACAATTCAACTCAATTTCAAATAGATTGCTTGAGAAAGAAAATGTTGCATTTTTGCAGTGAGTTTATTAGAGGCATATTAGGTCATGGGCCTTTGTCAGGCATCAAATTCACAATGTGAACAAACTCATCTTTGCCCTGGGGTGTAACAGCTGATTAAAATAGGGGAGCCAAGTCTCAAACATCTGAGACAATTAACACATCAATAATTGATAAATTATGATAAATGAAAGGTCCATAAAATTAAAATGACATATATCATAGAATATGAACTATAGTGGAAATGTCTCAAATAAACTCAAATAACGATAGCAAACTTTTCTTCTACATGATTTCATTCCCTATGTATTCATCAACCAGGTGTGCATAATAACACTTGGTTTAATAATTACAAACAAAACATATTAAAAATAACTACATGCTGGGAATTGTTTCTCTGTTTAGGTCTGTGGCACCTACATTCAAAGGTTAAGAAGCTACAAGGGTTTGTTGCTAATGAGCACCTCCTCAAGATGTAGTTTATGCGGTGACCACAACAACAGCAAATGGTCTGGTTCTGACTCCTTTGTGTTTACTTTACATGCATGTACACGTAACAGAATAAAGAATCTGCACTTTGTATATTATGATCTATCAAAACCATAAGCATTGCAAACTGTCTCTGCCCGTATCTCAAGTGAATGAAAGAATTTTAACATGATTACTTTGGTATGTAATGAATGCAGGACACTTAGTTTATGAATAACACATTCTTCTATTGTTGCAACAGTCAAAAGGTTAAATGCTATGCTAGACAACAACACAGTCCTTTGTCTGTATGCATGTAACCACTGCAACCCCTCAACTGCACTAAAAGAGGACTTCACCAAAGTAAGTAGTTATTGTACCTTGTGTTGTACTCCTTCCATTTATCTTGGTGCTGCATTAGCTTCTGGTGAGTGCTCTCGATTTCCTCTTGGACCTCAGAGAAGTCTTTTCTAGCTGAGTCCAGGGTCTGGTGGACAGGGTCACCCTCAGGGAGCTTTTGACAAAGTTCCTCCATCAGCTGCAGCCTTTTCTCACAGATGGACTGAGGGCCCTTTTCTCTAAAGAAGGCCTTAAGTAAAAAAAACAACAATTATTTACTGTGCTAGAAGTGAACACCATGAATAAACAATAACAAGGATTTTACTTCTGTTGATCAAAAACCAAATGTGCTAGTGCTTTATACAATGCTGATTGAGGACAGTATTTGCTCAACACTGGAAGAGTTTCAGTTATTTTCTGTTAAGTTCATCAAAATCTTCCCACGCCACTACACAGCAGTGAATTTGCACTGAATTATTTCACACTGTGTTAATCAATAGATGAAACTCAGCAAGCCGGCCAACCACTCTGTGCTCACCCTGTGCTCCTTGATGAGCCTCTCGCTCCCCATGCTAGCCAGGTGGCGGTTCTCCCTGGTCACCTCCGCCTGGCACTCCTGCAGCAACACGATCAGCTTGCTCCTCTCCACCTCCACTTTAAGATGCAGGAGGTGAAAGGGGGCGTCTGTCTGAATATCCTGCGAAATGAGAAATACAGCAATTACCGGTCCAGATTCAGAGCAATTTGTGCAGTTTTTTTCAAGCCTCTTTTTGTCTAACGTTGTCATGTTAAGTGTCATACATTATTTGGTTTATTTGTATTCGTAAAATTTGTGTATTCGTTGAGACTGGCATTATACATTATTAATAATTGCTGTAATAAAGTTATAATTGTGGACCTACAAAACAAACTGCTGTTTGTTGTTTGCCTGTCTGGCCTGTGATAAAATTATATCAACGATATTTTTTCAATACAATATACATCATAATCTTACAAATGAAAGCCCAATCATATATTTTTTTTAAACTAAAACTGATGTTAAAAGCAAGTATTTGCCTCAGTTAGGCAGGAGACCAAACTCTCAAACTGAATCCTTAACCTGGACAACAGAAATTTGTGGAACATATCATCACAATATGCCAACAATATAACATACATAATACACAATATAAGATGTAATATTAAATTATTGTCTTTGTAATCTACTTGGAGTGGCATCCTTGCACTTGAAAAATTAGACTAACCTTCCAGTGTTTGTGCAGCTTCCTGACTGTTTCCTGTAGCGACTGCTGCTCCTGCTCTGGCAAAATGTCCGTCAGCTCATCACAAGCCTTGAGGAATGCATTTAAGACCCGCTGGTCCAGCTGACCAAAGAACTCCTGCAAAACAATCAAGATCTCATCATGTGTCACACTTTGTTCAGGTCATGCCTTAGAAGTAACCATGATGAATCTTGCACACGGCCCGTTTTCTCACTGTGTGTTTCTTGAGCAGCTCCTCTGGGTTTCCTCTTTCTGTCAAACAGGTCTGTGCCATTTTAAGAACTTTCTCCAGCTCTACCCGTGACTCATCAAACCTCTTCATGAGGCTGCTGTTTGCCTCCACATGCTTCCGCCATTCTGTAGATTCCTTAATCATGGCCTGAACACACAAAATAATAATTCTTAAGATGCTAAAACTGTTTTAAAGCTTTAAGAGAATTGAAATAGGCCTTGAGGTTTACTGTACCTGTGAGGAAGACTGCAGGTCCGCTACTCTTTTCTGCAGAAGGCTCATGTCCATGTGCTGGAGGGTTTTACTGCTGTTCATTATTTTCTGGATGGTCTGGTGGTTTCTCTCTATCACTGTCAAACACTTCTTACAGCTGTGTGTGAAGGTCGCCAGCTCCTGCAGTATTCAATGACAAGCAGAGTGTTAGACATTTATTCATTTCTTTTCTTGAGGCTATGCTTTTCCGTCTAAAACATGGTTCTATAAAAAGTGACAAATCAAAAATGCTTGGCATATGGCTATGGATCTAAAAGTAATTCAATACAATTGGTACAGTGCCATACTGAAACTGAATTAATTACCTGGCATTTCTGTTTAAAGTCCACCGGTCCCTCAGAATCTGTGGTGCTGGTGATATGACTGGCTTTCTCCAGAGCCTGGTAGAAGCCTGTGATGTTCTTCTCCATTTCTTCTAGTGGAGGTAATAGAGACTGGGACTCCCTCAGCAGAGGCAAACATCTCTCCCTTACCTAATTGGAGGAAACCATGTTGATTTAAGTCAATCACAGGTGACTGATACCTAAATCCAAGGGCAAAAAAATTTATTCAAAGGCTTTAATGCCATGCCAGCAATTAAATTCTGTGGAAAGCACTGCATCCTTGGAAATATTGAACGTAAAAGAAAATGGCTTTTCACTGCAATCAACTTTTACTTCTACATAACACAACATTTTTTAAATAGTTTGTTATGATCCAGGACCAAAATTTACATGCAATATTTATTTATTCAAGCTTTGTTCTTTTCGTGTTAAGATAGGGTAATTTATTTTGGTAAGGATATGATTTGGTCATGCTTTTACTTACTTTCATGTAAAAAACACACCCTTGTTGAATCTATATCTTCCTAAAGTATGATGCATACATGTAAGATGTCCAATATTTGATATAAATAAGTATGGAGTCTTTATTACATCAGGATGAAATAATTAATACTGGCAGAAAATATAAGTAATTTGAATATATTTAATACAAACTGTATGACACAAACTTCCATACATCAGTATCAGCCTTGATAACCCACAGCAGTTTAATGAACACACAAAGAAGAGACATATTGATGACATGTACACACCTTGCTCAGCTGCTCTTTGATTGAGGCCATCACAGCCATCATCTGTGAAACCTCCTCCTGTGGAGTGTCTTTGGTCAACAGCTGAGCGGTGCGGCTCGCTGCCTTGCAGGCGGCTTCCATAGCTGGCACTTTGTGCTTGATTTCCTACAGTATTTTGGGATAAACAGTATAAAGATTTTTCAACGTACAGAAGAGAGATGAAATATCAGTCCAACCTGAGGAAAAGGAGGAGGGTATCGACTGTTTACCTCAACATCTTGAGAAAAAGCTCTGACATTCAGGAAAGATACTTGGACAGGAGCAGTCATCTTCTCATTAGTTGCATCCATGAACATTTTCAAGGTATTAATCCCATCTTGATAGTCTTGCCTCAACTTATCAACCTCATCTGCTCTTGCATACTGCCAATGAAACAGAAGAAGAAAGTAGATGGATAATTTTTTATAGGAACTTTTTTGAAAACTTAAGCTGGTATCATTATATTGATTTTTTTTCATGTATTTATATTTACATGTTTGACTTTGACAAACAGCTCTCTCCATCTCCCGTTCAGAAGGAGAAGCTGCTGCTTCAGATCTCGTGAGACTGTTTCATCGCAGGTCTCAATGAGGAAGTTCCCAGCATCGTTCATGTCCATGTGCTGCTGCATCCAGTGAGAGAGGTTTCTAAAGAAATCCTAAAAAAAGGAAGGAAAAGAAAGTCCATAGCTGTTTAGTACAGTTGATACACAACCTCCAGCCACTCAGAGTCTCAAATGCTTTGTGACATTCCTGACAGGCAGTACAGGGAGCCAGGGGGAGCTTGGCTGCTCTTAATAAGACATGAGCTCCCCAGAAAACATGATTTGTGATATTTTCTGACAATATGCTATTTTTCCCATGCATTTCTATTTTTCTTTTTCTTCATCATCATGGACAGGTGTAAACGTATGCTATTATTGCTGTATGATTCATGCATGATTCATCACTAACTAACTTTTTTAGTCCCACTCAGTCTACAAGCCAAATAGCCATTATTTCCTAAAAATAAGTAAGCATCCCTGAAAACCCAAAGTTTAGTTTGCACACTGATTCCTCATACAGTTTAACAGCACAAGTAAAATCTGTATATTATAAACAATACTGTTCATCATTACTGGTATCTGTAATCTTACTTACACGTTTGGCATTCTCCGACTGATTGAGCATCTGCTCAGCGTCCTCTAGCCAGGCCTGCAGAGCTGCCACTGTGCTACTGTACTTCTCCCAGTTAGAGATCACCTCCTCCAGCATGCTGCGAACGCTCCGCACCTCCAAAGCCAGGTTCTTCCACTGAGCCGTGGCATCACTGAGGAATTTACTTACCCCTTCTGCTTCATCAACTGAAAGTAAAATATGGAATTAGTTCAGTTTAGTTAAAATCAATATAGGTATCAACTGTATAGGCATAAAAACAGAATTTATGTATGCCTGCTGATCATTTGGCCATTTGGTTGATGCTACAGTATGTTAGGTCAGAAAGATCGTGCTAAAAGAGCATTCCAATTAATGCAATTATTCCTACTTTTTCATGCATAATGCAATATCATCATTTTTCAGTTCTGGGGGTTAAAAGTAGGTTAGAAAAGAAAAGTGCAGCCAGCCCCACATTTACAGAAAGGAATAGCTCAGGAAACAGGCAAAATTAAGGTTTTAAAGATTGTCAGGCTATTTTGGACTTACCTTTGTTACAGGTCTTAGACCCTGTAACATGAAATCAATAATAAAACTGTTTACCATGAGCCCAAAGAAATGTATATATAATATATATATATATAAATATATAAATAAATATATATATATATAAATAACAAACAAATTGATAATAAAAAAGTGTGAACAAGTCTTACTTGAACTGTCAGACTTTACATAAACCTCTGCAGCTTGCTTGAGGGCTTTGAAGATTATCTCATACTGCTCAAAGAACCTGTGGCCTTCAACAAAAGTCTGGAAAAAAAGGGCACACGAAAACACAGATTAAATTGTTTGACAGACACAGTGCTCTTCAAATACTGCAACTAAAACACCAATAATTTCAACTTACAAGGTAGGTTTGCAGCAGTAGCTCAACAGAGTCCCGTCTGCCATATTTAATGATCCAGGACTTGAGCTTTGACTCAGCCAACATAAGAAATGCCATCAGTCGATATTTCATTTCCCAGAATTCCAGTTTAATCAAGTGAGCATGTGATGATATAGACACAAAATTGAACCTGAAAATTTAAACAGATCAATAATTATTACATTTTTGCTTTGATTTTACAAGAGGTATAGAAGGCCAACTACATAAATGTTGACTTAATTAAAAAACAGAAAAGATGAATATCAAGTTCATGTTTTAGAAGAAATTGCACATACAATTAAGTTACAAGATGACAAGTAACCAGAATCATTCTGATAAAAGTCTTACCGTTCAGCCATATCTTGGAGTTGCTCAGGTGGGACAGGTACCCCATTCACTGATCTGTCCCTGTGGATCTGATGGAAGGTTTGCCTGTGCGATTCCAAGTTTTTTAATACCTCCTGCAAAAAACAATCACATATAATCATATCCATAAATGCTTTCTTGTGTACTCTGTGTAAAATGAATTGGATACCTACAATTGTAATAATAGCATAGTAGGTATCCATACATTGAAACTCAAATGTCAGTGTTACCTTATGCTGCTCTAGTTTTCTGTGAAGAACATTGGCTGTCTCTTCATGAGCATGCTGAATGGGAATGTCCTCTCTCAGAGCCATCTCGGCCCTGTGAAGCCAGGCTCCAATCACTCCCAGAGGACCAGGCAGGGACTTGTCCAGATGGATGTGCCAGTCTAGCAGCTGCAATTGACATCCATTAAAAAACCCACTCTACCAAAGAAAGATACCATCATAGAGGAGGCTATGTTGATCAAAACATTTCCACATGTTCGCAAGCATTCAGGCTACAAAGGAGTTTTATGCCAGTCTGGACAAGCTCTCGATGTCCAGAGGAGCAGACTGCCCAATGAACAAAAACCTCCTCTGTTCCCGTCTCCTTCCCTCTGAACAAACTCTAATTCAAATGCTTGCACCCCACTGAACTTTCACTGGCAGCCAATGAAGAGAGGAGCCCAGAGTTGTGTTTCTCTCTCAGTATGATCACTTTCACTATGGTAATGCAATTTTCAAGCAAAGAAAAGCATAATGACAAATGGCAAATGGACAATCTATTATTTATTATCAAGTTATATGATTAATTATCATAATTAATTCTGTTTTCTTCATGGCTTGGTTATAAATTATTCATCTTGTGCAGAAGTACGCAGTACAATTACCCTGGCAGACACACGGTCCCACGCCTGTTTGACCAGAGCCTGGTCCACGGACAGCTTGCCGTCTCGGTGCACTGGCTGAAGCAGCGGATCTGTCTGCTTTTTCTTCATTTCATACTGTACACGGAAGCTCTTAAATGCCTACATAACAAAAAAGACAAATTAGAAAGACATGTGGTGAGAGCTGATAAATGTCTGTTATGTAACAATGCACTTTGTCTTTTCAGGCCTGACTCACCTGATATTTGTCAGTGAGGTTTCCCTCTGCTCCCTGAGCCCGCAGCACATCTCTCTCCAGCTGATCTAAAAACACCTTCAGCTCTCTCAGCATCTTCCGCTCCTCTCTCTGTAACAATCAGGGAACATGCGGCTCAGAGTCACAGGAACAAACTGTTTTTAATCCTTTTTCTCAAATCTGCATGCCAATATAATATATTGATAAACCAAACTGACATTCCAGAAACACGTCATCAAGTCAGATTAAAGAGAAAAAGCACACAGTTAAGGAGTAGAAAAAAATGTTCAACCTGGTACGATTTCACACAAAGACAATCTCTACATTTTAGCACAGATTAGTTCATTTAGTCATGGTAGAAGAAATCGAATATGGACACTATCTTCTTCTTTATCATCTTTTTAGTCTGTTAATTTAGTGAAACATACCTCAAGCATTTGTTCTATATCTTGGGGACCAAACTATCCAGGAAAGCAGCAAGGCACACAAAGAGATGCAAACACACCATAAAATGCATTAGATGCATTATTAAAAAGAAGCAAAGAGGATAGGAAATGGGATGAGGCTGAGGTGGGAATATACTCCAAACAAAAAAGCATGCAGCGCTACGACCTGAACTCTCACCTGGAGTACTGGCACTGACAGTGCAAAAGTTGGAATTGAGCCTAGAAGCAGCTTAATGTGCACAAAGAATAAGTAGATGGAGAAATTAAATGAGCCTGATGATGGAAAACAAAATATTGATGATTATATTACTGCTGTGTTCATGCTATGATTATTTTGAGAGCTTCATGTGATAAAATGACAAATATGAAAAAAGTGCAGGCACAGGCTTCAATTAAGCTCAGCAGCAGTTAAAGCAGATTTTCATCAAGCACATACTTCCGTTATAATCTCTGCATGTGGTCATTCTCTATGAATCATGATACACTAGACATTTTTTGTGGATGGAAGAGTTAAATATCAATTATAATACAGTAGTAATACAATTATATTGTTTCTCCAGGAATTGCCTTATATATCACTGCCTAATATCCACTTAACGTATGATACAATATATTGTATCATACGTTTTAAACAAAGTACCTCATCCTGCTGTCCATCAGTCTCAGAGTGGTGGGGGTTTGGGTAGTGCTTGAGGAACTGAGCCACATATGTCATGATGGATTTCTCATCTGGCTTGTCTACATCCACATCTACAGAGCAACACAAACATTATCTGATTAAACCTTACACTGAAAGTTAGCTGATGTAAACATAGGCACCAAATGTTTTTCATGCCTCTCAAAAAACATGTCAGTATTTAACTTTAAATATGATCGCACTCCTGTAGAAATAAAGGGCTGATATGACAGGGCCATTATATTTGGTACTGAGTCAAAAAAAAAAACGCAATTTGCGTACTCACTAGGATAAATCTCTTCGGGCATGACAGCTAATTATATATATCTACTTTTATCTCCATGCTTGGCCTGATGTTTCTTGAAATCAGAGTCAAGCTCTGTAAAAGCAGAGATGTTTCAGTGCAGCTCTTGTGCAATAAAGCATCACGTCTCTGCTAGTGAAGACAGGACTGCAGAGCCACTGCAGACTGCTTCACTTCCGACTAAAACTCAAGAGCTACCATGAACACATAATTTTAGTCTGGTAGATTTCTGTTTTCAGCACACATTTAGTCTCCAACAGGATGGATTGACAATTGAGTTATTGTAATTAATATTGTATATGCGCTGCTTCTATGTCTAAAACACTGGCAAACTTCAAAAGACATAATTATGTAACACTCATATTCAGTGTTATTTTGTCTGACTACACTGGAATCTTTAATGGAAGCAGCAGGAAAGGTCAAGGGTACCTTCTGGATCCAGCAGACGGGGAATACCCAGCTCATTTTCTGCAAGTGCAAAGGCTTCCTCCAGATTCTCCCTGTTGCTCCTCCTCCGCACCACGTCCATGTCCACCAGGTCTGGCCTGATGGCATGCACCACTGACTGGAACGCGACACCATCGCGCCAGCTGGGACCAAAGTCCTTCACTTCAATTCCATGAAACCTTAAAAAAAACACAAACGTAAATACAAACTGCATCTTATACAATACTGACTAAATGTATCTACATCCATGTCTATAAACATATTCTAACACCTAGCAAAAAGGGTAATTTGAAAGTAACATACTTGGCTGCTGTGCACTGCACCCATCTGAGCAGGGCCTTCTTGGCATTGCCCTGAAATTTGTTAACCACCTTTCTCTTCATGGGAGGGCTTCCTGTTTCAGAGCTGGTTATACTCTCCACAGAAGAGTTGCTGTTGGACAGGGCCTGGAGGGCTGGCAGGTTGCTGGTTAACTCCTCAATCTAAATGAAGAAAAAGAACAACAGGAAAAAAAGAGGTTGCATTGTGACCATAGCAACACGAATAGAAAGTGGCAGTATTTCTTGGCATCCATGTGAATGTAGTGTGGCATAATTTATCCAGCAATGTCCGCTTTATGCATTCGTTACGCTGTGTAGTGTCGACATTTAGATCAAAATGTTTTGCAAAAAACATTTGGTCCAGAGTTTGTGAACCACAGGTTTAACTTTGAGTGAACACAGTTATTATACTCTCAGGATTTACAAATGAGATAAGGTATTACCTGGAAGTAGAGGATAATGGTCCATATCAACCCAAGGACAATTGATGGTCGTCCATCTGCGATGTCAGTGGCATGAATGTTAACTAGCTTGATCTGAAACAAAGCAAAGCAGAGGATTATTCAGGAAAATAAGTGATATGCAGACAGTCTTAGAGTGAGATTTTGTTTTTCATTAACACCCCCACAGAAGCCCCTTGAGTTTAATTTTGTCCAAAGGAACATTGCAAGCGTTTGTTTTTTGCTCAGTCATCAAAGTCAAATCTTTGATGCAGGTGAGTACTGTAATATAGCCAAACCAGGAAGACAGAGACAGCCACAGAAAAAAGTGAACCAGAAAGAGAAAAAAAAGAAAAAACAATTGTTCCACTAGATGTTAAAAGGAAAACAGAGGTACTACAGCACTGCATACCTTGCACTAGACAATTGCCACAATTTGCCATGTTTACATCTCTAAATTTAAGCAGCTCAGAATTGTAGGGAGCCAAACACATCAGTAACCAGTGTTCAAGTCAAAATGCATCAAAATGCATGTCTGTATAAAAGCATGACTACATTTATAGAAACAAAATTGGCTGTATCCAAGCGTTGCTGCGTACACATCGTGCATCAAATGAAAAGAATGCATACAGTATAGGATCACACAGGGCGTTTAATGGCGACTGACCGGAGATCCTCGATACACAGACTGAAGGCACACATGATGGGAGAGAGATCACAACAATGTAAGTCTCAGTCCTCAGGGAACCCAGATGAAAGTGGGACACAGGCTTCATAGAGCCAAGGGATTTAGAGATGGGTTATGTAATCAAGAAGTCCTGTTTCTATCTGCTGCTTCTCTGAACATAGTGCATGTTGTACGGACAGAATCACCTTATGTGCACGAACAAATATCTAATCAACAGATTTTTCTCAGAGTTCTTAATCATAGCCTGGACTGCTTTAAGGCATACCACACTGTATTTTTTTCCTAGTATGCTATTCAGTTGTGGAAAAAAATACATATAGAAAGTTTCACCTTACACAAAGGTGTAAGGTGAAACTGCTGATATGACTGAATTTTTACCTTCCTGCCTTCAAGGAATTTGAGCGCAGTGCCGATGTTGGAAACCCAATGGATCCTCTTCAGCTGGCGGCCTTGCTCACAGGGCTTAAGAGAAAGAGGACAGAAAGTGAAAATCAAGCAAGCTGAGAAGGCCAAATCATACAAATCTGAGGATATCTTCATTCAATCATCCATTGATTTGAAATATGGTAAGAGATTAACTGCAGGTAGTAATTTTATCTATTGTACTCACTCACTTCCAATACAGTAGTTGCACAGTTAGATAGTGAAAATGGCCTGGGGGTATTAGCAGGGCTTTTCTTACATAAATTAACTTGTGAGTGCCAAAGCTGCTTTAAAAGAAAAAGTATAATCCTGTGCTCTAAAACATATCAGTTTTTGGCTGATACAAATCAGCAGTGTGCACTCTGAAGTGAAAACATCAGACGGTGTTAACCATGACGTACAACTGACTCATTTGGCAAGTAACAGCTTTACAGATGACATGGCAGTTTGTTTGAAGACAGGTCTGATTACTAAATCCCTATCAAAGTCTGGGCCTGTGTATGTGTGTTAGTGTGTGTTTGGGAGAGAGAGGGAGAAACAGACACTGGTAAGCTTCTCACAGTGGGGAGGCTAAGATCTAAATTAGGGCCCTGTAATTTCTGTGTAGAGAGCCAACGCTTAATGTAAGCGACAATTTTATCCAAACTTGGGATTTCTTAAGATAGAATGGATATATGTTGTTATGTTAGAGTGGATTTATATGAGTTTACAGTATTTACTCAACCATCTGTTAACTATTTTCATCCTATAGACTATATCAATGTATACGGTCAGAATTATTTATTATGTGAATTATGTGAAGTCTGCAATTGCAATCATCGCTGATGATCTCCCAAGTTAAGCAGAAAACTACCAGGCAATCTCTTTACTGCTTAACTGTGGAGAAATGACATTGCTTTAAAGACCAACCAACAACTGAGAATTGATGATGTAGTGAATTTGTCAGCAGATTTCTTGTTTACACCATGAAATAAATGGGACCACAAGATATTATAAAATGTAGGTACAAGTTGACTCTAATGTGAAGGTGAAAAGGTGTGCCTTTATTTACATATTCATTATTTCGAGTGGATATCATACAAAGAGCCTCTTCCCCTTTAGTGAAGCTAATTTACATATGAGTCAGGCTCAACATGTGCAATTAATGTTCAACCCTGTGTAAAAACGATCCATAAGTACTACTTACTAGTCTTTGTCCAGACAGCACCTCCAACAAAGCCAAGAGCTTCACCCCATCTTTGATGTCCTCAAAAAGGTCATTAACCTCTAGTGGTGTTTTATACTGGAGGAGAGAAAATACAGCTTTAACATCACCAAAACTAATCATTATAACAAATGAAACTTCTTGTAATTAGAAATGAATGACTCTTGAAAACCAATACTTTTACAGAATCAGGAATGTTGCATTGTTAATTCGATAGTGTTAGAAGATATTAGTATTCTAACCCTTTAGCAGGGATGAAGAGAAACCAAATGCTGTTTGTGAGAAACAGGCTTGTTAGCAACAACCACAGAGCCTCCCTGCAGCTGAAAAGATGGTGCCTCTTCCTCAGCAGTGGCTTGGTGCCCAGTCCTGAGGCGACGGTACTCATTTAACCCTAATTGGGTACCGTCTCCTGATATCATATCCACACATTTACAGAGCTGTTACAATCTCCAACATGAATGAGAGCGTTATAACCTACTGTGTAACACAAGCATTACTGCATAAGTAAATTAAACAGGTGTGTATTTATTCGGCAGGGTGAAGCTTTATTTAAAAAGGGAATTCTTTATTTGGCACCGTATACAGGCCACTTCACAACTCAACATATTCCATGACAGGATGCAGTTGGCTGCCTATTTGGGGCAAAGCAGTGTGAAGAGGCAAGCGTCTGTCCTGTTATTCTGTACATGTATTCTTTTTCCTATCACAAAAGTACTATAAAGGATGGTACATGTTAAATGCTGCTATCTCAGTTCAAATACTATTATTCAGTTGTTTGACATTTATCTGAACAAATGGATCCAAAAACATGCACTGTTTAGTTAACACAGCAGCTAAAGGTCCATTAGTATAGTGGGAGTGTAATGTGTAAGAGTTGTCAATTCTATTTTATATAATTAAATATATACTATTCTATTTTTTATTTGTCAGGTTAAAACAAAAAATAACTTTCCAAATTTCCATCAAACTGCTAATATGCACAATCATGCAAAAATAGCTTCTGTATTGTCTGTATTTGGAAATAGTTCCCACCCTGGAAAATTAATTTACTGAGCAACAAAGTCACATGAGACCTCCAAACAGTGGGAAAACTGTGAAAATCACTGGAAAAGGTGCTTAGTAATACATTATCAGAGGAAATGGAAACACAAAGGCTGAAGGGAAAGTGTCACAACTGGAGGAAGTTCAAGCTTAGATAATACACACTCCCATAAAAAGTGCAAATTGCAAGAAGCCTTTTGTGCACTGACAAGAAAAGTCACATCGCTGTAAGCTTTCCTGTTAAATCAGCCAATCTCGCTTGTACAGCAGCTGTCTGTAGCGTAAATATGACTGTTTGAGAGCTCTCTCAAGATGTGGCTTATGCTACATTAGTCTTATTGGTATGCACAGTGAGTGAGTTTGAGCGCAGTGCATGAATAATGAAGAATAGACCAACAGAGCGTCTCTGCGTTGGCCCATCACATAACTGAGATTCTTCTAAAGTTTTAGAAGCCACTCTTTGAACTAATGTGGGCAGATGAGGCTCAACAAAAGACCCCTCTAAACTAAATCTCTTTGCCAGGTTCCAGGCTTAAACCCTGTAGTGTCTGATTAGCTAAACACTCTGCTGTGTCACCAGTGATTACAATCACAAAGAGATCATTCAGCATAGTGCTGGGGGGTAAAACATTTTTTTTAATTCTGGCAGGTTCATGGTATATTATGTTTTTGGTTTTTTTTTTGCATGACAGGGCCTTTGTATAGGTTAATAGTACCTAATTCTATTGTCAGTACACAAAATATAAAAACATTTTATTGCAGTTTTTATTGTGCAAACTGCAACACAGTAAAACAACCTTAGAATAAAAAAAGATTTGCAATTTTAACATTGCTTCCTTTTCAGAACAAAGTATTTTAGAATAGTTGTATTAATAGTTAACACTAAGTATTCAAAGAGATATTTCTCAAATGATCTCTTGCACAAGTAAGAAACAAATAAGTCATGGCAGTTGCACCAATTCTGCAGTTATTTCTGACATGTTATAGTCGTTCACTTTAATTCAGTGTGCATAATCTAATATAGGCCTGAACTATACAATCTACTATGGTTCAGGTCACAGTGTTATGAAATACAGCATATGAGCATGTGTTATTGTTGTGCACTCCTTGTCATTTCCATGCATGAACCTTAGAAGCAGACGACTGCCTGCAGGGAACTGTCCTCACCCCCTTGCTCTCCATCTGCATACCTCATCACTGTCCCTGCCAATCCTGTCCACAAATACACTCATACACACACACACACCAATAACAAAACACCCACGCACATACCTACACACTCATCCACAGTAGACACACACAAGCACCTAATACACAACAATTACAAACCCCACGCACCAGGTTCTGAACAATTCCATTATACCTCCCATATGTCCACATAAATACACTCCACTAGTGCAGATGCTCATCCAAGTATAAATGCCCCGAGTGAGCTTCTTTAAAACAGACCTGCACAGTGCTGTTCTGTATTACAAAGATGTCTCCCTTAGCTCTGTCATGTCTGTGTCATCTTTTCAGCAAAGTAACAAGCAGCATGACCTTTCTCTGTGGTTCTCCTCTCAGGAAAACAGAACAGAGGAATCATAGGTAAACTGTACAAAGGGTGTGTTCCTTCTCCATCTTTAGATCCAGCAAACTGCCATTATAAACAAACCCTGTTCCATTAAACATCATTTGATTGTAAATGCTTAAGAAACTAGGTAAATTATGTCATTATTTACGGTTAACTGGATAAATTCAATTATCGTGTGCAGTGTTATCAGGGCCTATTAAAGCTCATCATGGCTCAGTAGCCTGAAATACCACTGACCAAAACAGAAGCTACATAATCATGACGAGCAATAAAACATCACGAGTCTCTCTGATGAAAAAGGTCAACATAGCACAGCTTCCAACTTGTATGTGATGTAATTGCTTTGACAATCTGTTTAACATGGGCCTGATGAGCTTGTAAAATCCTACAATCTCCAACCCTGTCAAGTGATTTATGATCGCCATGTAGTGTGTAAGCAGCGGGGAGCATGGATGGAAATCACTCTTACCTTTGCTAAATGTGAATTGATCCATTTTGTGAAGGTTCTCTTCTGAACTGCCTCTTGCTCATCTGAAAATGAAAGGTACAAAAGGCATGTCAATACATGATGGATGCCACATGCCCTGGCGGTTAACTTTGAGCCTAAGCACCATACTTGAGACTAGAGGAGCTGGTGATATATTCGTAGACACACAACCAACTGGAGAGAATGCACACAATAGGAAGTGATGATCAGAGATTACAGATCTGTCCCTGCATAGAAGTGGCTGTTAATTGATTCTACATATGGATATGGTTATGCTTATAGCTACCACAAACACATAAAACGCATATAATATTTATCCCTCACTATAACTTCTGTCAGTTATTGCCTTGGTAGGACTCCCCCAGTCAGAATCTTACTTTATCCAGCCTCATCCTACATCATTTTACACTGCTTCTGCAATATCGAGTAGCATTACAGCAGCCCTGCAGCAAGCATGTTATGAAGTACGACTTTTGCCACGGTTAACACAAGCTTGCCAGTGCTAGCATAATTGATGCTCTTGAGAAGTGCTCTCAAAAAGAGGTCATATGAGGAGATTAGAGAATGAGTGGATAGAAAATTCCTGCCAGCACAACTCGTAAAGCCACCTCTGTTTTGAGTAATAACATGCGTGATTGTTTAGGTCACCCCCAGCCGCTTTTGTGGTCTATTAATATATTCAGCCACAATGCCTCATGCATTATGCAGCATGTGTAACAAAACAACTGATTTCTTTGCCATAGTGGTGCTGCTGTTGCGTCGAGGACTGATTTCTAACACCCTGTCACGCATGCCGGTAGGCTAGTGCTGCACACCGCACAGAGTGGCCATTTTTAAACATCCACCCTTAGAGATATAGACAGTGGTCACGTGTTTAAGGAAGCAATGCGAACACTATACAGGGAGCAAAGACGTTGTGTTGACCCACAGGCAAATGCTTCATCACTGATGCACAGGGGATGCCCACTGAAGCATAGTACACACATACACATGCACACAAACGTACACAAGGGTGCAACACACGTACAGCTGTGTTTGTGTAGCATTATACTGTAAACAGTTCATGTAGCAGGGATTCACCTACAGACCATTAGCATATGTTATTTTCCCAGTTATATCCCAGATTAGCTGTGTATGTGCACACAGATGACATATGAAGGTTGCTGCTGCCCTACTTACCACGTAGATACTGAAAAAATCCAGTCACCAGATTTAAAGAAGTCTTCCTGACAGAGACATCCTTATAGTGAGCCATTCTTCAACCCACTCTCCGGCTCGCTCCCTTTTGCCTTTCATGAGTTCCACGGTACATATATGTATGCGTGAAAATAAAGTCCACAGTGGAAAAAGTGGCACAAAAACACACAGCTGTCCTGTTCCTATTCTTTCCAGCAGGAAGCAAAACAGATCTGGCTGTCTGGTTTCCCCAGTGAAAGCAAAAGCTGCTGGAGGCTGCGATGAAAACGTCCCCTCCTCCCTGACACTCTCACACACAGACACACTGCCACACACGCACACACAGGCACACACACACACAGGCGGCAGAGGACAAAACTCTAATAGCGAGGGTCATTTACAATCCCATCCTTCCATCTTCCTGTGTTTTTCCCATCCAGAGGATCCATGCCTCTGTGTGCACAGCCCCCGCTGCACTGCCTCGCTGTATCATTGTGCCGTCTGAGGCTGGAGAGAGATCAGCTAGAAGCATGGCTCCACCAATCAGCATGTGAGAGGCGGTGATGTCACAGCCTTGGCTGCATTATCCCAATGTATGTGTGTGTGTGTATGTGTGCATGTGTATGGTCCTGTGTTTGCCTATAAGATTTGTCTAATCTTCTATGAGACTGACACAGTTAAAAAGCATTACAGCTAGTGCCCAAGACAAAGAAGAAATAAATCCCTTTTCACTGTTTTTCCAACATTTTGTCTGTAAAATCAAATAAAGCCCCTGCAGGCCCATTGATTAAATAGACCATAACAAAATTAAAAGACTGCTGCACAAAGCTCACCATGGTGCAAGAGATCTTAATAATTAATGCTGAGGCTGGTGATCTACCACCTGCTCTCTCTCTCAGTGTCAATGCTATTGTGACGAAAGCAGACACACCCACCCCGGGATTCCCACTGCACACACAGTATCATGTAAAAGCTCTAAAGCATATCCATTTTTTGTCCTGTAAGACCTAGCAGGACCACTTCAGCTTTGGCCAATCCATTTTCTATTGGACTGCTACTCCACTGCCCTGAATATAACACACAATAGTGAATACGTATGGTACTTGATAGCTTATCATCTCTTGCAGAAAAATCCCCTTTTTCTTTCAAGACCACCGGCATACTAAAAGCTTTTCTGATATACTAAAAATAGGCCTGAGCTTGATGTTCTATTATTACTGCTCTATAGACTGCTGGTGGAGCTGGCCCAGAAAAGCTATTTGGGTGATTCTTTTTTCCCTTTTACATCAAAACAGCAAAAGGTTAGAAGTAGCAACATTAAAACGATGTTGACAGCTGTGCACTGAGAACAATGAGCTTTTAGAAATACTACAATTAATGCTCCACATTAATTTATAAATAAGTCCCTAAGAAAAAAAGGTTAGGTACTCAATCTAGTCTGTCAAAGAGGACAGATTAAAAAGAAAAAGATTAACCATTTTTATTAATTGTAAATAATTTTAATATTTCTACAGCATTTTATTTACTCTTCTGCTGCAAAGGAAGTCGTATGTTTTTGTTTCCACCAGAGGCAACAAAGGTTAGATATCATCTGAAATTTTACATTACTAGTGCCATCACCTGCATTTTGGTCCTGATAACATTCTGGTTCTGATACCTTACTTTGATATATATGAACCCGTTATACTATTTTGCCACTGAAAGAAATAAGTCAAATTTCTCGAATGTTGAAGGTTGACTAAACACAAGCAGCTGTACTCTGCCTGAATAAAATAGTCAAAACCTGATTACACACTTGAAGGTTTTCATCCTGTCCCTGGAAAAAAGCAATTTCCAACACAAGGTCCAAGTTTGTTCCATCCGAAGCTGAGCCCCTTCATCCACTGAGGGCCTAAAAATAAGAATTGTTGGGTTTTTTGGTACCTTAGAAGTATTTTTTTATCTACAGAGAGAGCAGGTCCGAAACGCCATGTTTGTACAGTAGCCCAGACAAAACAAACACTGGCTCTATATAGGGCCCTTCACGCTTTCAAGTTTTGTGGCCGCCAAAGTTTCTCCCACACTTGGAACGGGAGGGTGGGGCGAGGGGGTTGTAATCTGCAACTACACCGTTTGATTCCACTAAATCCTACACACTGGTCCATTAAATGCCTTTTGTTGGACAGTTTTTGATATTCTGTGCTACAGACACAAAAGTACTGAGGTTCAATACCCAGCCCTAAAAATAAACAAAGAGAAAAAAAACTAACTTGAAGTTTTCCTGATATTCCAGCTGCTCAGTCTCATATCCAACTAGCTTATAAGGAGCTGTCCAGAGTCCTGAACTCAGACACTTGACTTTGTGTAATAAGATGTTGGTATGTAAGTAAGGTCTGGATATACTAGCTCTGACAAGCATGAAATCCCTATGTAAAAAAGCTCCCCACTATTGACTTATTATGTCTAAGTCAACTGATTTAATTAAGCCTGATGTAGTACTAGTAGCTAAGTGGCAATTAAAAGTGGATAACCCCAGAAACAAACACCACACAGAGCAACAAACCACTAAAGCATCTGCAATTCACATGAGTAATGGAGTACTTAAGGTGATCTTAGGACAGATGATACCTTTGGCAATACTGTACTGTAGGTGCTTGGCTTCATTGGCCTGTGGTGGTCATCTGGGAGCACCGTAAAAGCCCACTCACTCTGTTGTTGTTCCATTTAGTTGAGAGCAACCCTACTTTAGCTCCGACAGGCCAACAACAATCAGGCAGGATAAGAAATGCTTCTGTAGCTGTCCATTCAGAGATGCTTGACACTGAGGATTTATTACTTACTGAATGCTTTTTTCTTTGTCATCAAAACAATATGACAATACTGTAATCTACTATTAAAAAACAAAGATAAGAAATGAAAGCAGGACCCCAAAAAAGTACATGTGGTTTGTTTTAAACCCCTATTAAAACAGTCAGAGTCAGCCTGGCTTAGCATAGAGTGGGAATTAGGCTCTAGATCATATCAGTGTGATGGCAGTGTCTCCCTGGCAGCTGTTACTGACACTGTAGAGTAGAAGCATCTCTTACAGCTGACAACATGCACGCTTGTCTTTCTTTTACTTGCTTTTACTCCAACTGTGATGTAACTACTCCACCCCCTTGGTGAAACAATGAGTGTGCTCTACTACAGTGGTTCAATGTTTTAGCTTGTGACCTTTTACAACTAAGCTACAATATTGTGTTACTGGCTGCATGTGCAGTGTAGGGAGGTTTTTATTTTTTGGCAAAATAAAAGCTGAAACAAATAATAAAATGGTTGATAGTCTTCTGTGCCTATCTTCACATAGCAAATAGTTATTTGCTGCTATATTAATGTTAAAGATAATTGTTTGTTGCAGCCCTATAATATTGTCGCCTGATTACTTATTGCAGCCAGGAAGCAAAGAGGCTACAAACTTAGTATTATTTCGCATTTAATTACTGAAAAGCCAAACAAAAATCATAATCAAGATTAATAGGCTTATATCTGTCAGTAGGAAGGAGGGGATTCATTACACTATGAAACGTCACCAGAAACCCTTCACCAGCTGTGTTTCTTCATATCCTGTCTCTCAACTAAAGTGAAACCCACAAGAAACCCACAAGAGCCCAGGCATAATGAAAGCGGCAAACTTGTCACGCACCCTGGTGGAAACAGACATCAATTGTACCCGGAGGGCATTTAAGGACATAAGGTGTTGCTACACGGTGTCTAACGGCACTGAAATCAAACAGACAGCAAGAATGATGACAAGAAGAAACAAGTATTTTCCCCAAGGTTGGTTTTTCGTACATTTAAGAGAATGCTTCACAACTGTTTTTCTACAATCAACACTATAGACATAATCAGTGTGTATTCACAAGACTACATATTTGCTGGTGTCAATAATTCATCCAACCAGATGGACTGTTGCTCAAGTCAAAGTGAGTCTGATGTAACCCTCTCTGCAGGATGCATTTAATGACAGGAAGCCGCGTTTGATTAGCAGTGAAAAAAGGCCAGACTACCTTACTGCTCACCATCTACAGAGCACCTAAAACCACTGGCACAATAATGTCTCCCAGATGTGACCTGACACCAAATCCCACTTCCTGACATGAACCACGCAACAGTGGCTGGCACTTTGCATTGCAGATAATTTCATTTGTGCACTGTTTGTGCATTTCCTCCACACAGTGTTACCTGATTTCTGTGATTTAGTATGAGTCAGGAAAATACATTTAGCAACTATCGCTCTTTGTGTTTCTCATATAATCTGAACAGTTTATATTTAATCCTGATAAAAGAAGTTTAATTAGTGTTTATTACCCATACTATAAAGCATTAAGAAGAGAACATATCTACATAGAGAGACTTCCATATTCTTATATCCACATTCAGTGTCAGGCCATGTCTGAAGGCGTGAAAATAGCAACCAAATGGCAGGTGTTCTTTTTCATCATGACACATTTCCCTCTCGTTGAGCTTATAATATATATCGATTACAAGTGAATGGAAACAGCTTTGCAGTGCACAGGAAACACATTATCTTTAAAGCGGGAACTGGGCAGCATTGGCCCCATCACACACAAATGTTTCATAACAGTTGCTATGGTAACAAGACATGGCGGGTAAAATTTCTTGGTATACTGTACATCCAGAAATACATCTAAACTGAGCCAAAGCGGATGCCAGAATCGACCAGACTTGTGTAGTGATGGTAGTGGCCTAATGCCCTTGTAACAAAAGGGAGACACCAACAAAAAGAGACTCCCGCTATCGATCTATTCTCTTACCAAGGGCAGAAAGGGTGTCAGGTTTTAGTCTTGTTCAGTGCATTGTCTGTGTGTTTATGAAGCCACGGTTGTTGTATCTCAGTATCCCATGTCAAGACTCAGACCTGATTAAATGTTCCTGATGATCCCTGAATAAAATTAAGGAGCTAACTCTGAACCCTAGACTTGGATAAAAACTTTTAATTTTCTCAGAAGAACAAACAAATTCCAGAAAGCATTAACTTTATCTTTTTAGTGGCGACAAGATGACTTGATGCTACTTGAATAATGACATGATGTGAAAACGCATGCCTCTTTTGGCAAAAAATTTGGCTAACTAATCTCTACAGA